GGGGGGATTCTATAATTTCTAGTTCTATTCGTATGTTCAATAAAATAAATTGGTTCTGACATTCATTTCATTTACAGCTTCTCCTATCACCAACTAAACTACACATCTTGGAATTAATAATCTTAATTAATAATTATTTCTATTCATCATATTTCAATTTTCATGTTACAGAGGGACTTTCAATTGTTTCAAAATGATTTCATATTACCCTCCTATTATGCTCGACTAACGACGGCATCTATTAAAATCTTTGATTTGCAAAATATTATAGCACCTTTAATAAAAGGTACGGTTGTAAATCGGCATGTGGTACTCTTTAAGCAATTGTACCCTGGAGATATTGAAGTACATCGCAGACTAATATTAATGTGTTTTTAGGGTATGTGGAAAATTACCAAATACAAATTTGGTATTGGGTGGGATTTAACTTTTCAACAGAATACATTTGTTTAAAGAAAAGTGGGTTTTTTTATTTTTTGTTGTTTTTGTAATCTTTGAATTTTAAGATTTTCTCTGAATCCTTAGGAAGTTTATACTGAGCACAGCATTATTGTTTATTTCTACATTTTGCAGTATGCACGATTAGATTAAGAAATACATTTTCAAAATTTTTATTTTATTTTTTTTATATGAAGGAGGAGGTATTTTTATCTCTGACCAATTTAAAGTCCTTGGAGCTTCATAGGAACCCCTGGAGATGTGACTGCAATCTCAAATCTTTCAGGTCAGAACAAACATAACCGTGGTTTTTCTTCTCAAACTTGGCAATAATGAGCATCGTTTTGAGTTCCGTTTTGAGTTCCGTTTTGTGACATGTACGGATTTTTTAATGTTTAAAGCGCTCCACGAAAACCTGGTGTAATTACTTACTAAGTAAAATTGTATTCTCAATTAGTTTAATTACTTGTATTACATTATTTTTCTTCTGATCAAAGATATTAACCAAAACGATTTTTTTTCAGCACGTTTAAGCATAAAAACAATTTGCAATTTTAAAGCAATATTTACATCTCAGATTCTGTTGGAACATCTAAAACTTTAAATGCTTGAAAACTAACCTCCATTAGTACACCCCGGACTAACCAGAGTTATTTGACATCCTACTCGTTTTGGTCTCTATTTAACAATCTTTAAACTTACGGATTTGTTTGTTTAATTCTGTTCATTCTAAATGTATATGCCGCAAAAAAGGCTAAAAAATTATGTTTAATATAAAAAATTGTGATCGAAAATCACAGCTTTCTGGAATATTGACAGAACCGTTAAATCCACGTGAGTTAGGCTGTTTATCTTTCATTCTATTAATCCTGACATTCTGGGGGTTCCAGACAGAGTAAAGTTAAATGGGGAATGTTCCCACCCCCAGGAATCTCTTTTGATCGTAAAATGGTTTCGGATTTTTTAAAACTCTTAACTTAAGACAGATTTTAATGGATACTTTAATTGCAACCCCCCCCCCCATCCCCCACCAAGCCTTTTAAGGTGAAAATTATTAGAAAGCCAAAGAAAATTTTATTTTAAAACTTTATAACAAAGTTTCCTAGTTTCATATTCAATATGATAAATTTTAACCTAGAATTTTAGAGACATCCAAACAATTTATAAAATTTTACAATTTTTCAATGGGTTTTATACTATTGTACCTAAAACTCAGTAATTGTAAAATGAATAAAAAGTGATGAAACATGCAGAAACAGTTTTAAAGAGCCCCAATAGTTATTTGATTAAAAACTAAATATCTGCAGAATATTCCATTATTAGTAGGTTTAAAAAACGACATTTTATAAATTTTCGGTTCCTCCGAAGTTCGGGATTAAACTGAAAAAAAATTATTTTCAGAGAGTGGATAGTAGCCAGGGGTCTGTACAACTATCCAACTACCTGTAAGGAACCTGAAAGATTGGCTGAGAAGCTTTGGGATAATATTCCAAGCACGGAGTTTGCATGCAAGGTATAGATTTTATTCAAGAATGGAAATCAATTGACAAAATCTTTATCACGGATTAAAAAATCATCCCTATTGAAGGGTTGAATATTTTTTTACTTTATTTTTATTTTTACCACAAACAATGTTCTCCAATTTAGCGACAGAAACCACAATGAAATTGCTGAAATATTGATTGTTAAAGAGGAGAGAGGTGGGGTGTTATGATTTTTAATAAAGTTCTTCGCACAAATATATATTTATAGCTGGACCGAATGGCCTGCCATTTTTTTAAGGGAACCCATGGGTAGCCTGAGGGGCTAATAAAAATTCGAAATTTGTTTTTTCAAAAATCTATTTTTTTCTAAATTCGATTTTTTTCAAAATTTTTCGGGCATCGCCGGGCACTTCAGCTAGTTTATATATATATACATTTTTTAATCTGAAGTTTTTATAATTTCTTATTAAATTCGAATTATCATAAAGTCTTAAAAATATTCATGACGGATTGAAAATGCTCTTATTTCGCAATATAAGTCCACTTTGTGACTGAGTCATGAATAATTTAAAAGTTTCCAGACAAGTTTTATTTTTCCATGCTTAAAGTTTATTTTGGTCTCTAAATGATTGATGCTTTATATTTTTGAATAATGTAAAGATCTATTTCAAATTTTCAAGACTGGGCTCAAGATTTATGATCGAACTTATTGATTCTTTTCAAAATGATTAAATGTTAAATCTGCGGACAGCATCTGTCAAGAAATGTTTCAGTTCTAAAAAGAAAATTAAAAGAATAGAATTTTTTTTGTGTACTTTGTTGTATGCAGTATATACTAATCACATTGGTGCAATTATAGGTCTATTAATGACGCCAATTGTGCGTATGTATCTATTGTTCTATTCTTATTTTAAATCGCTTTATACCTGATATGATAGTGGAGATGATCCTGAATATATGAATAATTCAAGTGGAAAATTATCTTTAAATTGACAGGCAATCTTTAACTAAATATTCAAATCTCAATCTGTATAAGATAATTAACAACGTCAACGATTCTAAATTTTATCCTTTTATAACTTTTTTTGAGATACGATGGGGTTTAATCTAAAATGTGTTTGCATTAAAATCCTTAAATTGTTATTTATACCTTCTGATATTTCACTAGCAGTGAAGTTAGTCGATTTTGACGTTTTGCTGATTTATTAGCCGTTTGTGGTAACCCAGGGGTTTTTTTTTATTTAGTGTAGCACTTTTTTATAACAGTTTATAACACCCCTTATTACTGTAAACACCGGTTTATTTCAAGTACAGGACCGACTTTTATTCAGCTGGAACAATCTTTAAGGTCAAACGAGACAGTACGTCAAATAAACGATCCCCAGCTAGCAAAATTCATTTATTATATATAAGATATATATAAGACTAGATGAAGTGCTTGGCCTTGCCCGGGGAATTTTAGAAAAAAAAACAATTTGGAAGAAGAAAAAAATAAAAAATAAATTAAAATCTGAAAAGAAATTTTTTTGAAAATAATCATATGTATTTTTTAGCCTATGGGTACCAATGGGTTCCCTAAAAAATGTCAGTCAAATCGGTTCAGCCGTTTGGCCTGCCATAGCTAACATTTACAAATATATATAAATTTGAGCGAAGAGCTTTATTATATAGATATAAGTATGTGTTCGCATATCATGAAAACTATCAATTGATAATATTTGTTTATTTTTAGCCCAAGATCCAAGTATCTCAAGGAAGAGTGTACAGTCAACCAGGAACCAATGTCACGCTGGGCTGTCTTATAAAAGGTATTATATTCAAGCCAATTTATAAAATCAGAGTTTGTGGCCGGGTTAAAATATGTTTTTATTTTCGTAATTAAAATTGAGAATGGAGAACTTTAATCTTATACAACGAAAATATTTTAAATTTATTTCTCCGTATTTTCGGTAAATATACTATATCTTATATACATGTATCAGGTGTAACAATTAACAAGTAATAAATAAAAAAAAAAACACAATTATATTTATATTTATCAGTGAGGAATAAACACAATAATCGAATAATACAAACAGACGAACAGACGAATTTAAAGGACACGCTGCGGATATAGTCACCACTAACTACTTTCCCATTGTGGGAGTAAACTTCTACATATTAAAAATTCTTAACATTTTTGTTCTTTGTAATAAAAATCGTTATATTATTGTTTGTTAAAACAAGGAACAATTACTCTCTCGCAGTAAACAGTACAGAGATTCTATATCAACTGAGTATATTTCTAGATGTTAGATTAAAGTTAGGTTTTAACAGCATAATTACAAGTTACACGTTGTTTTATATATAAAACGTAGTTAAGCAATCACAATATGGATTTGATGGAGTTTTAAACTTACATGTCAAGGTTACAAATGAGCGCATTTAACTCTACAGACAATGTACAACATAATTTATCTAGATTACTGTGATTTATAACAATGTTAATTCATAAATTTTTTCCTTTGTTCTTTGTAATAAAAATCGTTATGCATTTTAAACTAAAGTAAATTAGGAGTAAGATTGAAAAATTATAGTTAGCGTTATTAAAAAACGGTTGAGAAGATAAACAAAATTGTTTTGAATTTTTAATATTTAACCAAATAAGTTTGCTTATTTATACTTGTGCGTAAACCCAAGACTAGTGGAGGAACGAGGTAACAAAGCAAAGCAGTAATGTTGCATACATGCCATGCCACCTTCTCCTTCGGTCTAGTTTCAATAGTTTAACGTTTCTCTCCCAGCTATAGTCGACTTGGGATTTTCCATAATCTGTTAATAAAAAAAATCTCTGAAAGGAAAATCATTACCCCCTCCCCCGTGTTGTCAGATTAGCGTGTTTGTTTGTATGGAACACTGTAGTTCCATATCTGTTGAGTAATGTATCTGTTTTTCCTATCATTGTTTATGACCATCTGACACTAGCATCTCACACTTTTATTTATATTTTCTTCGAAGGAAATATTTAAAGCTAATATACTCATTCATTTATATTATATATTATATATAGAAATAATCCGTTATGTACATAAATCAATTATTTGGGGATAATATAAGTAGATGAATATACATAAACGAAAATATATGTAAAAATATATAACATTCTTGTATAGGACTAATGGTCTCAAAAAAACGAAATGAAACGACTTTTTTGCCTTAAAGGGCTGTAAGTGTAACTTCAAGTGACCCTCCATGCCTGATTCACAATAGTACCCTTGAAACCTATCTATTCAATAAGGTGGAGGATAATGTCATTTTTCTTTGATTACAATTAAATGTACAGTTATGTTGTAGTAACATAAGGATTTCTCAAACCCGTATCCATCCAGGTGCAACTCGTCAGCTATCAATGTCAACGCAGAAACAAGCTCTTAATAGATCAATGCCAAACCAATAGGCACGTTCTCAGCTTGTATGTTTCNCTCTGTATACATTACAATGTTAATTCATAAATTTTTTCCTGCAATATAAATGTGTCAGTTACTTTAGTAAAGAAACCGCAATCGAAAATAATTAGTTTTTAAAATTATGAATAATAATATTAAATTTGTACTTGATCAGACAACTCTTTTTTTCGCGCCCATATTCTATTTAAATTGTGAACATGTTCTTTTTGTTTCCATTTTAAAACAAAGAAGAAAAAAAATTTGCGGATTTTTAAAAACAAATTTCAAAAAAATTTGGATGGAAGAGTAGTGACTTGGTATTAACACTAGATGTTTCAGGAAACCCGATCCCGGAGGCTAAATGGGTTCTCAGGGGAAGAATAGTGAATAATAATACTAGTCCTTCTGGTTCAAATACACAAATCTACCTTATACATGAATTAGGTGAGATAACCTTGAAATATATTGTAGTGACCTATGTTTATCTTTTTGATTGTTTGTTTGTCCGAGCATAGCCCCTTCACCGATCTGCCTCAAATTTTTATGGAGGAACTCGGGAGAACCACTTAATTTTTAGATTCTAGTGGTTTAGCTAAAATCGCAATTTACCACCAAGTGAGGTTAAACGGAGCGCGGTAGTAAATATGCGTACCCTTGTCAACGCTAGGTTCTTAAGTTAATTATTCAATTTTATGTTCAAACTATTAACCTTAATCCTTATTTTGAAAAAAAAATAAATTAAAATGGCGAACTCTTCAACTTCATAAAGTTTAAATCTAAAAATAAAAAGTTAAAGAAAATATTTTTCTCTGTTGTAGTGCGCATATATCCTTACACATATTTTCCTGCTATATTCATAGGCTCTAATACACAGGGACACAAGCGTAGCTATCAAAATCCAGCTACTAATAAAGTGCTCTAAACACACAGGGACACATCCGTAGCCATCAAAATCCCCAGCTACTAATGAAGTGCTCTAAATGCCACACAGGGACACACGCGTAGCTATTGATTAGTCATCTAGCTATATCGATCTCAAATGATGCATGGGGACGATCCAATGCTCTAAATGCCACAGAGGGACACAAGCCTAGCTATACAACAAGCTATATACCGATCCCAAATGATGGGGACGATCCGACCTGGCTATATCAACACAGGGTTTCAGGGGTCTAAATGCCACATTCCTAGCATACACAAGCCCATACAATAAGCTATGTATATTTATATTGATCCCAAATTAAAGGAAACGATCCAGCCTAACCAGGGCTTCAGGTTTGTTCTCCCCCAGTAAACAGTACGGAGTTACTCTATAAATTAAACTTTATTTAATGTCACAAGTTAACATGAATTGACGTTTTTACAATTCTACGATGTTATCTATATTACATTAATTTCTGAAAGGTAATTTCGCATGATTTTGTAATAATTACGCGTAATTAGCAAAACTTTCATTTCCCAAAATTGGTACTAGTGCAAACGTCGGACACACTACGTCGGACGGTATCAAACCTAAGACTTACAAACGTCGGTCAGTACAATTGTTGGACCAGGACAAACGTCGGACTTCAATTTGGCACAAACGTCAGACCAATAACAAACGTCAGACCAGTACAAACGTCGGACTAAGGGGAAAAAAATATTTGAATTTTAAGAATTAAAAAAAGTTATTTCCTTTTATCGACCGGTCTAATAAGAATCTACCCAAAGGAACTGAGTTCTTGCCACTAACTCAAATATTCTCATCGATATACCTTTGCAACCTGGTAATGGTATTGACCTTTGATACTTTCAAACTTAAACTGTTCTGATCTTACAATGATGGTGAACTGTAAGGTTACACACAAAAGATGAGACTATAAAGACGACACAAAACTCTTTAAAGACGACACAAAACTCTTTAAAGACGACACAAAACTCTTTAAAGACGACACGAAACCCTTTAAATATGACGATTACAAAGTTGACTTAAGTTTTGCATTGAATAAAGTCTTTTAAAATGGCGTATTTACAGATTGAGCAAAGAAAGGGAACAAGTTATTAGTCATGATTATTAATTCCGTACAGTCCTCACTTAAGTCTCATCCTTGTCTCATGGGTGACCCTGTATGCAAATTATGTTAACCATCGTTCTTTTTTGCATAAGAGCTAAACTACCAAGATAGCCTTCAATCAGAATAGGGTTAATTCAAGTTTACATTGTAAAGTTTAAAGATATCTACAGTTTTTAAACTAGTTCTTCTGTTTTCAAACAAATGGAGTTTAGAGAAAGTTTGGAATCCGTTTAATTGAGGCTTTCTTGTGAAGGTTTCATTTATCTTTAGAGTTTTCTTCTTATCCCTGTTTTCCTGTATCCGGATACTATTGGAAATTTAAACTTTTTCTGTTTTATAGCTCTGCCTAAATTTAGAATTTCAGCCAATATTAAAAGCGCTTATAAACCTTTCTTTGAATATCATGATACACAATATTTTTTACAATATTTTTAAGGTTGCGTTCAAGATTTGTGTAGCCAAAAACCTCATAACAAATATAATTTTAGAATTCTATCTGTAATATAATGTTTATAAAAAGATTGGGAATAAGAATCTCAACACTTATTGTTTGTGTTTTGTTCGGTAAATCAATCATTTTTTTCAATTTTTGTTGAATACAAATTCAAACTTACTAAAAATTAGGTTTCTAATTATTGAAATCTTGGATAGAAAAAAGTTTTGAAATTTAAAAATAGTTATCAACTGTTCCATGTATTGATTTTAATTGTATTTCAGGAGGTCTGGAGAGATGGTTTAATCTTACAGTTGTAAATCTTCAGGTATAATATAAACTTTCAACTTTCAACCTTTCTTATTTTTTTTTGAAAAATCTGAAATACTGATTCTAAAATACAGAAGAAAAATGAGCTATATCCCACTTTTGATGAAAGAGTTTAAATTGCTGTACAAATAACTTTCTGTACCGACTGATAATATTACATATCATATTATCATATTGCTAAAAACATAATTGATTTGAAAAAAGTCATGGCATGAAAGTAAGAATTTTGTTTTCGACTTAATTTATTTTCCTGCTTCAATCATTAAGCTCAAACAAACATAAATACTTCACAATTTTTTTACAATTTATCACATTAGTTTGTTGAAAGCATGTTGGAAGACCTTGAATTGGTTCAGATTTTGATTTTGACGTTATAATAGAATTAAAATATAATAAAATACATGAAACTAGAATTGTAGCTTTTCCTTTCAGAAAATATCGTGATGAAAAAGGTCTTAGGAAGGGAATGGAAATTAGGATTGACGTTGATTTAACTTAAATACTTTATTACAAAAATAAAATTATTTAAGAAAAATTAAGACAAACATGTTACAAACGGATGGGAAATATATAATAGTAATTTTTCTACCATTGAAATCAAAAAAATATAAAATCTAATCAATAATTAAGAATCCCTGAATGTCAAGTTTAGGCATAAATAATGTGCGTGAACTTTTCTCCCCTGACCCAAAGATTTTACTGTGTTGGAGTAGTTTGAGCACATTGAACTGACACTATCCTTGACATATCTCTGAACGATACATAACTTTAGATAATCTATACTATAGACTTTCACCCTTTTTTTCATTCAAATCTACTCTAGGGGTCACCCACACACGATGTGAGTTTAATGATGACTGAAACCTCTTAAAATGTAATGACCTCAAGAATATAAGAAAAATTTTTAAAATGAGGCGAGACGAGTTTTAGCTTCTTCAAAAACTATTATAAGAATGCTGCGCTCCATTGGTCTTTAAAAAAACTTTTTGCAGGGTGTCATTTTAATTGTGCCAATTTAGGTTTCTTATCAAAGACTTCTTTCTCAGCTACACTCCAAAAATAAAAATCTAATGGGTTTTATGTCCGGACCTTTTGGGGGCCAAGGAAAGTCAGTTTTTGTTGCTTACTGCTCTGGCGGAGAATTTGTCTTTCAGATAAAAAAGTGAATTTACAGTTGTATGCATAGGGGATAGCTCTTGCATAAACCAGTAACCTTTCATTGAGGCTTTACTACAACTAAGTTGTATATACAGCTTTACGTGGATTTACATAGTTTTACATATCTTTACATAAGTGTACCTAGGAGGAGGATGCTGATGATTATACTTGTGTTGCTGTAAACGCAGGCGGGGTCTCAGAACAGAATGTTTCTCTAACATTTGATACTCCAGTCATACTTGGAGATAGTCAGGTATTTCAGTCCTACTTGGAGATAGTCAAAAATACTCCAGTCATACTTGGAGATAGTCAGGTACTCCAGTCATACTTGGAGATAGTAAGGTAGTTGGAGATAGTAGTTGGAGATAATCAAGGAGGCCAGTTATACTTGAAGATAGTCAGGATATGCTCCAGTAATACTTTGGAATAGTACAACATTCATCCTGGAGATAGTTAGGTATTCCAGTTATACTTGGAAATATCTAAGTTATACTCCAGTAATACTTTGAAATATTTTGGAAATATCTAAGTTATACTCCAGTAATACTTTGGAATATTTTGAAAATATCTACGTTATACTCCAGTAATACTTTGGAATATTATTCCATTCATATACTGGAGATAGTTAGGTAATCCAGTCATGTTTGGAAATACCTAGGCAGTTCAGTCAAAATTTGGATCGTTAGGTACTCCAGTTATATTTGAAGCTATTCAGGTACTCTAGCCATGTACAAGCAATTTTAAAAGGAAAAAATTGTGACAACGTTAAACTGGCATGTAATCTTCTAAACCCCCCCCCCCCCAAAGTCCTAACTTTTAAAATAATTGGGACTTTTTTACCAAAGTTTTTATTTCCAGTTTTTTTTTCAGAAACTTTTTTTCTTTGACTTTCTTACATAAATTCCCCATTTGTGTAGATGCATTTTAAACTGGTTTGTTTACCAGGAACCCAGGGAGAAAAAAGAAGATGAAATGAGAACAGTTTTGGCTGTGGCTGGAGGTAAATATAAACATAACAATAATCATAAAAATAAATATCCTCAAACCTGTTTATCTAATATTCAGCCTTATGCTTCCACTAAAAGGCGCTTAACAGAATTTCATGACTTTCTCTCTTTTTGCAACATCTTTCTAAATTTTTTTAAACAGTCATATTTGTTAAATACACGAGTTCTTCTTGATAAAATTTAATGTTCTTGTTCAAATTTCTTAATACCGTTTTCTAAATTTTAAATTCTCCTTTTCCGCTTTTTTAAAAATTTAAATGCATAAAATTGGGATATTTCAATATTTCAAATACATATTGTAAATAAAGAACATTTCATAGCAAGAGAAAAATCTGTGTTTTTGTTTCGTAAAACTAATAGCATATATTATGTCAAGAAGGTAAATTCTGGAAATAAATAAATCATTATCCCTATCAATAGAAAGTCTTTTAATCCATGAAATATTAAATCTTCATTTCTTTGAAATTTCTTTTTTGAAATATTTTATCTATGAAATATCCTGTCTATAAAATATTATATTTACGGAAATGTCCTGTATATAAAATATTATATTTACGAAATTTCCTGTCAATGTAATATTACAAAGCTATGAAATGTCATGTCAATAAAATATTATATCTACTAAATATCCTGTCAATGAAATGTCAAATTTGATAAATATCCTGTTAATGAAATGTCATGTCAATAAAATATTATATCTACTAAATATCCTGTCAATGAAATGTCAAATTTGATAAATATCCTGTTAATGAAATGTCATGTCAATAAAATATTATATCTACGAAATATCCTGTCAATGAAATGTCAAATTTAATGAAATGTCCACGAAATGTCCTGTCAATGAAATATCAAATTTAATAAAATGTCGACGAAATGTCCCAGCACTAATACCTTGAAATGTTCACATTGGATAATGGTGAGCTGTACAGTGTACGTGTCTAAAATAATCTATCATATAACGGTCGAGTTAGAACTGAGCTGTCAACATTACTTTTCACTTAAAAATTATTACCCTGCCAGTTGTCCAGGATACTAACCGGTACAAGAGTTTTCTGGAACCGCCACGCCGGTCATGCGCCATGTACTCGCCACACTCTAAAAGTTGCATAATCTGTGCCGGTACAACTGTATTGTGAATGCATTATGTTGTACAGTCCAGTCTGGACTACCAAGTGTAGAGTCAACCCAGCACGTTTTAAGCAAAAAATGTAGCCGTACAAGATGGCACAATACTTAACATATCCATTTGCCCGTTGACCCGGTCCGGCATGTTTTAAGCAAAATTTAAGGCTGGCTGGATTAATGTGCTACAGCTCAATTTTGATCAAGTTTAAGAATCTGCAATGTTAATGAATACAAGTTTAAAAACGTATATTAGTCCCTAACATTATGTTTTTCAAACAGACTAACCTGCCCCCAACTCTTATTTATTTTTACTTTTTCGGTTTTGTAAAACATTGGGTTGCAGTAACAGAGCATGGTTCTATGCCCTATATATATTCCCCAGTTAGTGTGTTTCCTTTCTCCGTTAATTTATTGAATTCTCCCTGAGTTTCAACCTTCCTTGGTTCTATACAGAGAAGATTACCAAGTTTAGACATAGTCCATACATTACTTGATGCTATCTAACCAACCTTCAAACACATACACTGGCATTATGCATTTCTAGCAAGGTTGTATAATAAGGTTGCTTACTCTCGATGCACTCCAATGTACAGCAAATGTTGTCTCCTAATCAAAGATAGATAAAAAATCCGTATATGGCGTCACTCTCACCACTATAATCTGTGACGTCATTCTAGAATTTTATCCATTTATGGTTAGGAACCGACATTTTCCCTACACAGGAGCCCATCGAGAGTAATTAAGCAAGCGTTTTATACAACCTTGATTTCAAGAATTAAGTAACCATGAATTCAAACCCACGTCAAACTAAAGTAAATGTTAAAATCTTATATGTTTTTAATCATAACTCCTCTTTAATTAAGTAGTACTGAGGATAACAAAACTTATTAAAAAGTTGTGCTATGTAATCAAATAAGTTTGCTATTCTCGTAGTTGTACGTAAAATAAAAACTGTAGGAGCTACGAGGTCAAGTCATACATTTCCCTTCCGTCTAGTTTGCTGGTGAAACATTCTAGCCAAGAGGAGAATTTTTCTTAGAAAAGAAAACAAACATTATTTAAATTGATATCAATTTTAAAATGAAACAATTTATTAAAAAGTCTAAAATAATATTTACATAGTACACTTTAGCTTAGCCTTTATCTGATTACGATTACCGGATTTTGACTGTTAAAATACCTTTAGTTGGAAAAAAACTTTCTCGGTTATCTGAAAATTTCTACACTTTATCTAATTCACAAATTCACAATAACTGAAAGGGGTAAATGTACTGTCCGTTTTGCTGTATACAGTCTGAATATACGCTTGACCCATGGCTGCCTAAAAGTCGGTTCAAATGAACCGAAAATTTCAATGTAGTTTACGTTAAAGGGAGTGTTCGCGAAAAATGAAAGGGGGCTTACGGCGAAAAATATTATCGATGGTGATCGCTACAAATCTTACTTCTCTGTTGCTCCTATTAGGAGAAATTGGTAAAAAACGACTCATATATCAAAGAACGCAGCGTCCATACAAATTCAGACATTTGCAACATACAGCTCGGATCGTCAAAAAAAAATTATTTTAATTCCAAACAAATCATTCAGATATTACAACCTTTAATCAGGGGCGTACGAAGGGGAGGGGGAGGTGGGCTCCCCGCCCTCCCCCCTCTAAGGGTGCACCCATATAAAAAATACTTTAAAATCTCACTTTTGCCCTTAACTGAAAAGGTTTCAGTAAAAAAGTTTTAATCAATACTGCCTTCAGTGTAAATAAATCTTTGATATCATTATTTATAATGATACAATATGTATTGTTTCTATAAAATTATAGATATTTTTAAAGAGACTTTTCCATCCCTATTTTTCACCCATTGAAGCTTATACCACAGTATTAAGAGGAAGTGTTTGATGAATCCACTTAAGAAAATTACATGAATAATTCATTAACACTTGTTAAATGGAAGTGTGTATTTGATCGAATAGTTTACATAGTTAAAAAAGGCATCAACATTGCACAGTGTTGCCAGGGGGGGCACAAATATTTTTTTTTGCGCGCTGACACTTTACTTGATAAATATCAAGGATGTATGTTAACCCTACTAAGTGTATCCCTGGTATCCTATATCTGCTGTATACATGATAAATATCTAGGATGTGTGTTAACCCTACTAAGTGTATCCCTGGTATCCTATATCTACTGTATACATGATAAATATCTAGGATGTATGTTAACCCTACTAAGTGTATCCCTGGTATCCTATATCTGCTGTATACATGATAAATATCTAGGATGTATGTTGACCCTACTAAGTGTATCCCTGATATCCTATATCTGCTGTATATATGATAAATATCTAGGATGTATGTTAATCCTACTAAGTTTATCCTTGGTATCCTATATCTGCTGTATACATGATAAATATCTAGGATGTATGTTAACCCTACTAAGTGTATCCCTGGTATCCTATATCTGCTGTAGTACCAGGAGAAGACGAGGACAAGCACAAAATGACTCTCAGAATATCATGGAACCAGGTACATAATATGATCATATACGGTGAGAACTAGATAACTGTTGCATATGAGGAAAACTTTTAGACTTAAGGCTATAGAGTTTAGGTATAGCCCAATTTTACAAGGCCAGCTCGGTAAAAAAAACTCGGACCGGACTTTTTTTACCTCACTGAACCCTACCCTATGCACTAAAAAAAATGTTCGAAAAATCCTTTAAGTTACTATTCCAAAGAAGTAACTTTGATAGTTTCAAAAAGGAGTGTGCTAGGGCAAAACAACTAGATCAAATCAATTGGACAGGGCTCACCAAATATTTCACTTGTTCGGAAGTTTTTAAGCTACAGTGATAACTAGAAAACAATATAATAGGAAGACGACATTTTAGCAGTATTTTATTTTTTATACAAAGCAAATTATTTTATTAGAAACTTGTAAAATCGCTAATGAGTCTGTTTATTCTGCACAATTGTTGTGTCCCAGGCACGTTGGACTCTACAAAACTATCCCTTGCTTCTGAAAATCGTTTTCCTATTTCAGAGTTAATAATTCTGGTTATCACTGTACAATAGTAAAACTATTTGCGTCGTAATATTAACATGAATGACTAGTCCACACTTTAGTATACAAGATATACAAATATAGATACAGAACACGGAATGCAGTGTCCGAATTTAATGAATTCGAGCCACGGCGGCTTCAATCTGCCAAAAGCCGGTTTCAATCTTGAAAAATGCAATACAATTTTAAGTGAAATAAACCATTTTGAGTCGCGGCTTAAATTGAAGCCGCGGCTTAAATTCTTTAAATTCGGACTCAGAATTCATACTGAATGCAGAATACAGTAAACAGGGCCGTGTTAATACTTTACATAATTTTGAATATTTATAAGCGTTGCTGGATTTAAAAAGTGAAAAATCCAATATTATTTAGTTGTTAATATGATATAATTAAACTTTTTGAAAATTTTGAAATTTTTAAAAGAAAAAAAACAGCATGTATTTTCGAATTGTTAAAGTTTAAGTAAATTATTTGATATAATAAAGTAGATATCTCTATTTGTAATATATTATATATCAAACCCCTTTACCGATTAGCCTCCAGTTTTGTTTGAGGAAACATCGTTAAAACAATTGAAATGTTCTGAGCTTGTTTGAACATTTTAAGTTGAGTAGGTCGACTTTGTTAGAGAAAACTTAGTTTCCAGACACAGCTGGGTTCCAACGCTAGTATATGAAAAAATGCTATTCATGACACCGTAATTTTAAATTCTAAAATATTTGAAATTCTGGGATTTCCAGTAGACATTGTACACTGTATATATTAAAAACAAAGTTATATTCCTTAAAGCAAACTTAATTTTTAAAATTAAACTTTTCCCTGATTCTGTTTTGACAACAATAGGCTTGGGTTTCAACACAAAGGGCGTTGAAACTATTGTAATAGAACCTCAGGGCGCTTTGCGTCCCGAGGTTCAATAGTCATATAGCTCACACTAAACTATGCTAGGTTGGGTTCTGTAAAATAGGCCTATGCTAGGTGGGATACTGTAAAATAGGCCTATGCTAGGTTGGGTTCTGTAAAATAGGCCTTTGCTAGGTGGGATACTGTAAAATAGGCCTATGCTAGGTGGGATACTGTAAAATAGGCCTATGCTACTGTAAAATAGGCCTATGCTAGGTTGGGTACTGTAAAATAGGCCTATGCTAGGTTGGATACTGTAAAATAGGCCTGTGCTAGGTTGGGTACTGTAAAATAGGCCTATATACTAGGTGGGATACTGTAAAATAGGCCTATGCTAGGTGGGGTGCTGTAAAATAGGCCTGTGCTAGGTTGTGTAATGTAAAATAGGCCTATGCTAGGTTGGGTACTGTAAAAAGTCTGACCGCGCGATCAAGGTTGAAACCGAGCAGGGCCGGGCAATACTTGCCGCACATCACTAAGGCCGGTACAAGGTATCCAATGAAACATGACAGTTGAAGAATAGTTTAAAATGTCATCTTTCAAATACTGGATTAGATTAAAAGACTTTTTGCAATTTAGTTTGGTAGAAAAATCTTTTACTCCCAAATATCTTGATCTGGGATCGATTTTACTATAGTAAAACTGCCATTATATATAATGTTTATTACTATTTTTTTTGGTATCAAACAACTTAACAAATTATGGAAGAAGACATTTTAAAATATTCAGCAACTGTCATGTTTTGTGGGAAACCCTGTAGGTCTATCCCCTGAGCAATAACACTTATTGCAGATTTATTCCTTTATAAATAATTGAAATAGTCTCCAAATTTAGAGAAGTTTTTTCCCTCAAGGTATGGCAGCAGTTTAGAAAGAGAGCAAAATAAAAACTAAAGTTTCCATGTTGATTTAATATTTGATGAATTATAAATTAAGTTCCCGTTTAACAGCAAACAATATACGATCATCCATTATTTATAGAATTAATCCCAAAAAGGCTTCCAATAATTTGGTTTCAAATATGAAGAGATATTATGTATTAGAATTACTATTATGGAATTATACATACTACATAGTACATACATGATATTAAAGATTTTTTAAGGTCTATTATTCCATGGAAAAAAATAGGTTTTCAGGGCGCTTAGCTCCCCCCCTTAAATTTTAACTTCCAATTGATGCTCTTTTATCGATTTTTTTCAGACAAATTTACTTAATTCTAATAATCCATAAACCTTCCCTGGAATTATTTGAGGTCCCACACAAAATTTGAGCCTGATCAATTCAGCTGTCTTGATGTTAATTGGATGCAAACAAGCAGACAGACAAGCAAATTATATACATATATTCATAAAAACAAATTAAGCATAATATTTAAGAATAATATTATGGGAATTCTTTTTGAGAAGATTCAAGAAGTGATGAAAACTTGTGATAAATGGGACGTTTGAGTTCGAATATAATTTTAGAAATTGAGTTAGAGATCAAGAGTTTCTTTCAAATCTATTTTAAATTTTCTTTTCATTTCATCCTTTGGGCCTTAAGTTTCGGGTTGAACTTTGATGAATTTTAAAGTTAAACATTTTCAATTTTTTTATCACATATTGTAATAGCGCTAGGCAACGTCAATAAATAGAAGTTTAAGAAAATTAATAGGAAAAGAACTTATTTCAACTCAGTAACTGAACTGAATATTAACCCTATTCCTGCTGGGGGGGGGGTCAATTTGAACCCCCCCCCCTGTAGTTTTTTTACATAACTCAAAAAGTATTGGGCTGAGGCTGTTGAAATTTTCTGACTTTTCTTACATACCCAAAGCCCTCCCTTTAGGCCTAAAACCGGGCTTTAATACTAGCTGCCTGAGTCCTCAGGCACACTGCCTGAATGACTGCTTTTGCCTGTAACAAACTAAATCTTTGTTTTGACCCACTTTCACTTGTCAGATTTTGATAAAATTTAGCTTTTTGGAAAGCCTATGACATAAGGAAACGGATTGCACAAGTTTTGCGAAAAAAAATTGCAAATTTTTTGCAAACAACCAGTCAAAGGAAATTTGCAAATTTTTAGTTTTTCTTGATTAAAAATCAGGTTAATTAAAATTTTGCAAAATTTTTTGCATATTTAAAATTGCATGGTCAAGAGCTTTTCAAAAATGTATAATTTGTCATTTTTTGGACAAATTTTTTTTTGCAAACATTTTTACTATAAAACTGGATTTTGCGTTAAAAAATTCAATTTTCGCAAATTTGCAAATTTTTTTGCAGATTCTAAAAGTAGAGCACAAGATTTCTAATGATGTATCATTTGTCATATTTGGACATAAAACATGGGATTTAGAGGGGGGGTCAAATTGACCCCCCCCCCCATCGTATCCTGGTTTTCAAGTACCCCAGCAGGGATAGGGTTAAAATGACGAGTAATACTTCTTTTTTAAACTGCTAATTTCATTTATTAACCTTTAAGGGAATTTAAATATAATGAAATTAAAGATAATTTACGAGAAAATCGTAAATTGTCAGGCTTTTCTTTAGGTTAATTCACTTAACCGTTAAACCTATCCCGATTGGGCTAGTTTTGTAAAGATTGCCCCCCCCCTTATGGTGTTACACTTTGAATTTGGATAGGCTCCAAAATTAGGGAGGCTATGAAGGGTTTAAAAAATGTTCATAAAGTACATTGGAAAAATGTTGATTTTTTTTTTGGCATATATTGACAAGTGAGGGTGACACATGCCATTACATCCATTTATCAAGGGCTTTTCAAATAGATAAATTTTAGATCTTTTGGTTAATTATTATATAAAGTTAACAAAAGTAGGTTAAGCTAAAAATGTGTGACAGTCCTCAACAACAACAACAGTTCTTTATAATGATAAACACTCACCAAACTAATTAATGCATACAGCCTTTCCCACAAACGAGGAGACTGTGAAGACGACATTAAACTCATGAAATAGGACGAGTCCAAGGTTAAATTTCGTCTCCTGTTCTTGACTTCTATAATGGCTTATGTATTGATTTGGAAGAGAAAGAAACAAGTTTACAGTTGCAGATAACCGTGAATAGAAGGAAGCAGACAGTGTAAATCCAGTAATCGAATACAGTCGCGTCTCCAAATTCTCGTCCTTTGTGGGTAAGGCTGTATATTTGTTCAGGGTTCTCTGATAGCCATCGACTTCTAGAACCAAGAGGAATTCTGAAAAACAGAGGAAATCCGGGAGATGAAAAGGTAAATTTTCTAATGTCCGATTCACAACTGTACCCATAAAAATACTACTCGATTAAAAACTATAAAAATTCCGTATAAAAATAACATTAAAAGCTTTGTCTGATCAAGTTTGATTCAATACATAATACTGAAAACTGATTAGTTTTAATTCTGGTTTCTCTACAAAGGCGACCTGCATATTTCTCCAAATGCTCCAATTTATAAAATGTCACATCAAAAACTGAAACAGTTAAGCTTTAGTGTTACCTTTATAAAAGCATTGGCAACATTTTTATCGTTTTTTTTTTCGTGAAAAAAGCGTAATTCCATCTTCAAATCATGTTTGTCTTGGTAAACTAATACATACGCAGGCTATATTATAGAAACAAATAAGCCTAGTTTGAAATGATACCATCTAACTATTTTAGGACCGAAATATCGATTTTGAATCCTACCCTGATCTACTAAATACAACGGATAAATCTGATCGACTAACTCTTGGGAATACTTCTGGACACATGCAGACACTATTAGACGCCAATCAGGCTCCTGACCAAGTAAGTACAGTCGTCGTCGAATATATATCAATACTATGAAAACGATTTGTAGGTCAAATGTTTTTATGAAGCTTTCAAACAGCATGGATATAAATGTTTACATACATGTGGAAACTATAAGAATATGCATTTAACATCCTTTCTTTGTTTACTTGTATAAAGCTTGTTAGAAATAAAAACTTAAATATAAAAAGTTGTCTTCATTTTATTGATACAAACGCCGACCAAATACCATTCGTAGGAACTAGTCAGTCTTCACCTACTCTAATTCTATAATTCGTAAATCTTGATGTCGTTGTAGACTTTTAATATTGCAAACTATGAATTCTGCTTGATCAAAAATCATAGCTTGAAATTAATATCAAATAACATTTTGCAAGGATAATAGGACGAAAATTAGAGTTTGAGTCCTGTATCTGGTGACAGCTAATGCAAAGAAATCCTAATGCAGCAGTCTAAATTAATACTTTATTCCAATAAAGTCCGAGTTATTGCAAAGAGCGTGACATTTCAATGCAGTGAGAGTCAAAATAGTCCCAGCTTACAAAGTTACAATACGAAAGAAATAGAATAAGTTTGAGAACAAAATCTATTATTTATGAGAATTGTCGGATAAAAACAGTTTCTATACAAAGCTGATAATATTTAAATTGGATTGTTAAGTGAGATATCTTTACGATATATATCTAAGTAAGATATCTTTATGATATATATCTAAGTGAGATATCTTTATGATCTATATCTAAGTGAGATATCTTTATGATATATATCTAAGTGAGATATCTTTATGATATATATCTAAGTGAGATATCTTTATGATATATATCCAAGATAACTTTGTGTTTTATTAATTTCAGAAATAAACACAGGCTATTTACAATATGCATGGACCAGTAATCCTTGTATACAGGTTGTCCTACTTAAAGATTGAATATGCAATCTCTTGTAAATATATTTGATATTGTTTTATAGCAAATATTTTTACCAGTGGCTATAAATGTACTTATTTAGTGAAATAGGCCTGTTTACACTAGAACATCTCTGTATTTTATTTTTATTTGACTATTTATAAGAACCATTAATATTTGGTCTAAAAATGTAATCTTGACGGTTTTTATCCTGATCGACTTAAATTCATTGTCAAGTCTGAAATACTCTTTACAAAATTTTCCTTACCACAACCAACAATTTTATAACGAAAAAAGTATCAAATCATTCTGGTCCTCAGAGATAAATTTTGACGACTAGGTTGATTTTTTTACCAATTAAAAAGATCTGTATATATAAAATAGTAATCTGTGTGTGGGTGTTTGCTTGTTGGTTTGTATGTCCGGTTAAAACTCATTATCTACCATAGTTTCAGTAGAAGTAAATATTTCCATTTACTGTTATAGCGCCGATATAAGGATTTTTTTCCTAATTGGAAAATGAGATAGATAGAAAGATAGACGTTACCGCCATACTATTTCTATTGGGTCAGAATAGACACCAAACACATGACTGAACCCTGATTGGATCAGGCGCTAACGGACTCGGCATACTAGAGTGTATCCATTGACCAATTTGCCTTAAAATTTGATTGGAAAACTCGTTAGAGTCACAGTCATTTATATTTTAAATAAAAAAGACAATCCTGGTTATTGAAAATTACCCATAATACAGGGTGTCCCACGAAACATGACAAAAGCAAGACAATTTAAAGGTTGTCTTTGATTTTTACAATAATTTGGAACAATTTTTCGTAAACCTAATATAAGAAGTGAAATTCTAGAGTTAATAATCATTTATTTTGAAAAAATTGAAAATTTTAAGAAATTATTAATATCTCTGGTTATATTGACAGCACAAAAAAGGCAGACCACATTTTGGAAATTCCAGGACTAGGAGAACTGTGAGTTTAGTGTTGAAGAACTATGCATGTTAAAGTATGTTGACGACTGAATGTCACCAATAAATTCAAAGATCAAAGACGACTTTCAAGTTGTCTTACTACTGTCATGTTTTGTGGGACGTACTAAGGAAAAAATTGTAAAAAAATATGAAAATGTTCAGCCTCTGGATCCGAATCATCTACCCTGCTGTACCTGCTATACAGCACCACAAGCAGCAGTCATGGAAATCAACTGCACTTGCCCCACATCTGTTCCAAGTAACTTTACTATACCAACAGCAGCTATCCTGCCTCCACCACCCAGCTTTCTAGCCCCGTACACCTCACCTGTACAGACAGTTCCCTTGCAGACTGGAGGAAAAGAAGGAAACCGGTTTATCACCCTTCCTAGACACACCAGGTAGGAACCTGTTTATAGCCCTTCCTGGAACCGGTATATTACCAAATTCCTATGCACACCAGGTAGGAACTGGTATATTACCCAATTTCTATGCACACCCGGTAGGAACCAGTTTATTACCCTTCCTAGGCGCACCAGGTAATGGTAGGATCCTGTGTAATATTCATCCTAGGCACACCAGATAGGAACCAGTTTTTTACATTATTCAACATTTCAGAGGCCGAAGAGCTCCACCCCTAAGCCCATCATAGCCGCAGGGTTCGGCCCAGAAATTGTCTTCACCAAGCCTAACTCATAATAATCTAATATTTTGAAGTGGTCGATGTTTTTAGGTATTCGACATGTTGTAACTGTCAATATTTTGTAGCAGTCAACGTTTTGTTGCAGTCGACATTTTGTTAATCGACGTTTTGTAGCAGTCGACATTTTGTAGTAAATTAAATGATAATTTTTCAAATTTATTTCCTGAAAATATCATCAAGATGCAATCAGACTTTTGTTTCAGATGCAACTTGAATTTTAATCTCACTCAAATTAAAAACATAAATCTGCAGAAATAAATATATGAAAAAAACGAGATTGGCAAAATAACATAAAATCTTTATCAATTATCAAGTTGTCAAAATCACTCTTGTCATTTAAGCTTCAAAGATTACTTTTAAATTGAGTAGATCGGGCAGAAATGAAAAATATAATGACTCTAAATTGTCTTCTTGGAGTTCAGACCACCCAACCTTTATAGAGTTAAAAACAAAACTGTGTGTTGGAGTTACATGGTTGCAAAGTTAAACCAGTAATTCCGCAAAAAAATCAACACCCGACATTTGTTTCTATAAACATAAACAGTGTTTTAGCAAATTTTTCACTTTTCTCCTTTCTTTTTGTATTCTATATCTAAAAACTAATTGGATCACAGTCCCTGATGTTTTTCTTTTAAATATCATTCTACTTCGAGAGATTGAAGTTTGCAGCAACATATTAGGTCCCTCCGCTTTACATTTTCTTCTTATTCTATGGCTATTTCATCTTCTTATTTGTAATCATCAATCTATATTCTATTCCTCTCTTGTTTTCATTTTCTATTTTAAAGTTCCATTGAAAAAAAAATATGAAAACAATAATTTTTTAATTGATGATTTATTTTTAGACAAAAGGGCGAGATTTGTAGAGAGGAGGGAAATTCCAAAAATATCAATAGGCAGAACCTTACAGGTAACATTTACTGTTAAAAAATATAAATTTAGTTTTTAATGACTTTTGATGAACCAAATGTTTGTATGTCTTACTGCATTGATAGTCTATGTACAGCCACATATTTAGATAACCTTCTCACATTGCAATAAGAGGTTTTGTCAGTAGAGATGGACATTGTTTTTTGGAACAAATGAAAAATTTTAGAATAAACAAAAAATTTGTTGTGAAAAAGGGTGTTGTCCAGAAAAGAAACTATGAAATGGACTGTTTAGAGAAAGGAAAAATGATCGTTTTTTAAAATGAACAATTTGAAATTGTTCATAAATCTTGATCATTCATGAACAATTTTGTTAGTTTCTTAAATGAATGAATGTATTTTATGAAAAATGTTGAAAAACTATTGCTTTTTACTGAAGAAACAATTTTTTGAAAGTACTTTTTAAAAAAACGTTTTTTCTTGTGAAAAAAGAAAAAGAATGATTTTATTGAACGAATAATTTTGCTGAACAAACTACTTTTCTGAACTTTGGCTTTGCTAAAAACAACAACTTTGAAGCAATAAAATTTATTGACCAGGATAAAAAATCATATATTTTTATTGTACTGTAAAATGTGAGTTAAATTTGTCCACCCTCTTAGTTCTGAGAACTTCTTCTGTCACAATACTCCTCCTAGAAGTTACTGCAGTCAAGGAATCATATCAGGTTGAGAAAGTCCTTACAGTTACAGATTTCTTCTTCTGAGAAAAGGAAGACTTCACTGCGAGGCAGTATCCCGGGTCTTCAGGTGGGGCAGAGAGGCTGATGTCCTCAGAGTGGAGGTGCAGCGGAAGTTATAAGAAAATCAGAAAATCACAGGCTTCAGCCAATCTATAGAACTTAGTCGACTCTGGTTTCAATCTCCATGTGGACGAACTTGTTTTCCTGTTCAAAACCAGGACAATGGCAGGTTGGAAATGGCCTTGTATTGGTGGAAATTGTTGGGGTCAAACAGCTTAAGCAAACGTCTCTTCAGGGCCTTGTATGATTCGTCAGAGGGAGGAGATTAAATGAGATCTAGAACCTGGTTTGCAGTCTCTTCTTTGAAGAAGGAAACACAGTAGTAGAACTTCGTTGAACTCACGCTCACTCCCTTCAGCACAAACTGTGCTTCAATTTGAATGAACAAGGCCTCTGCGAAATCAGGCAAAAATGCAGGCACTTTAACAGCCACAATGTTGAGAAATTCCAAGGAATTGAAATCAGCCTGGGCTGAAAAATTATCACCATTTCTAGACATTATCACTTGAACATGTAGTTTAACTAAGGGGAAAAACAGTTGAACTGGGAGCTATAGGAAAACGAATTTGGGTCACCAATTTGGCTACGCTCAAATAACAACAACTTTGGAGCAATAAAGTTTATTGACTGGCTTAAAAAATGATATATTTTTATCGTACTAGAAAACATGAATTAAATTTGTCTGTCGTATTTAGTTCTTAGAGCTTATTAGATATTGTCTTCCGACACAGAACTAAAAAATTTACTGAATGATTGTTTAGAGAGAAAACAAACAAAGTAAATGTAAAATGAACCATAATTTTGAGAATAAACAAAATCAATTATTTTTGAAATGATTAAAAAATAAATTAAAAAATGGAATGTTAATGAGTGATGAACAAACGAAATGGGGAAAAATACAGCGATTAGTAAATATATGTTTGAAGCATTTTTTTTTATTTTACAGTTGTCTTCTTTCTTAAAATTAAGTGTCGCATTCTGATTCTCCTTTGTATCAACAATGAAAATCTAGAATTCCACAGTTGTTTTGTAATGTCCAATAAAATTCTATCTCCATTTCAGATCTGAAATCTAAGGTGATGGTGGATATCCCTCCTGTACCGCCCCCTGTGCAGTTTACAACATGCTGCACTAACCCCCTCTGTGATCAGATTTATAAACAAAACATTTGGGTGAAAACCCAGAACTCTTGTCAAACCTTACCAAACCCCAAAAATAGAAACATGGCAAGCATCAAGACAAACACAAGAGAATTTTAAATAAATAATGTGGAAAATTCTAAAAACTAAGAACATTAAGAAAATATTTTTTAAATACAATATGGCGCGTGAGAATGAGACCGACAAGACATGGTGGCTGAGTTGAAAGTGTAGTATTAACTTTAGGATTCATTCAATACCATACGGTGTACAGTTTTTGAAGAAGTCGTTTATAATATTTCACCTGTAGATTCAGTCATCAAAAGAAAGTTATTTTTACAATTCTTAAATAACTAGGACAAAACATTAAAAAAATATACACCGTAAAAATGTTTCATTGGTATCAAATAAATTCTAAATACATGCTCTTTCAGCTCAAGTAAAGATTTCTCTGAAAATATTGAAAGATACGAAAATAATGTTCTAGGTGAATTAATTGTTTTTTTAGGAACTGAACACTTGCCACAAACTCTAATTTTAAAATTTTTGTATCTTTGATACTAGATGGTGAAAATATTTTAAATTTTAAACTTAGATTATTTGATCAAACAGAACTCACATTTGGAAATATCAAAGGTCTTTGACATCAGGTTTCAAAGAAATAGAAATTTAGAATTTGTGGCAATTTTTCAGCTGAGCTTTTATTGTTTATTTTAAAGTCTATAAACTTTATAGATCATCAAATCATAAATGTTATGTATAACATATTACCTTACCTGTAACTTCAAATACCTTTAAATATTTGTAAAAAAAATACGTAATTCGAATTCCAATTTTTTAATTTTGTTATAAATAGAAATGGAAACTCCTCATGAGTCAAACTAAACCAAGGCTTCAGCTTACATTTATTTGTATATATATAAAGTATCGTTAAAAACGTGATGCTTTTCAAGCAAATATGATCGTACTTTAAAATATAACTTATTTCAACATCAGTTCAATAAGATATTTTTTCTAAACGCAGTTTTACTCATTTATAATCGTTTTGATTAGATTTTTACAACTTCTATTAAACTTCAAGTATTTCGAATTTACAACATATTTTTATCCTAAGAGAAATAATAAAAATGCAACAAAAACGGTCGTGTTTGGTTCGTTTTTTTCTTATTTTTCCTCTCAGGGTTAACCTTTGGCATAGATTAGCAGTTGTTAAAAAAAACACTTTAACTTTGTGTCTCCTTTTAAGGAACCAAGACGATTAAAAAACCATATTTGTACTTTTCACTGTCACAACCAATAAGTAAAGTGAAATCTCTGCGTAGTGCACAGAATCTATTTCCTTTATTACTTTAAATATATTAACCAGTTTTTAGGAAATATTTTATGAAAACAAGGTGATAAAATATGAATTGAGGCTTGGTGGATTTTTGTACAAGCTAATTAAAGTGTTAAGATTTTAGCACTCAAGATTTTAGAAGCGAACCAAATTTTTGGGGGAAAATTTTATTTGAACACGAAAAAAGACATATCTGTCTGGCATTGTTAAATAATTATTGTAAATAACCTGCGTGCGTAAATGACTTAAATATAGCTTACAAATAAAATAATATATCTGACCTACTGCAAACTTAACATACAGGGTGTCTCACTAAACATGTCATTTTCCAGACCAGATTAATGAATATCATATCCTCTACTGGAAAAATTGGCGACATTTATAATTCATAATTCAATATTTTGTAAACCATCCAAATAAAATTTCTTTAGACCTGACATTTCAAAAATGTGGTTTACTTTTTTGTGTTTTCAAAATGACCGCAGATGTAAAGTAACAGAATTAAAAGTTTGAAATATCAGAGATCCAGAGAGAATCTGAGTTTGTGTCAAAAACTAAATTCCTTTGTTTTAAAATACAATATCATGGGAATTTTATGAAAGGTTGTGCAATCTTTTTAGCCTCTTAAGTTTTTTCATGTAAAGTGAGACGGGCCAAGAAAGTTCTATGAAAAAAGTTTTTGAGAATAAATTTTCTTAAATCTAAATTAAAGAATCCAAAACGAAGGATTTTATTTCCAAAGATATTTTGTTTAGAACTTCAGGATATTTGGGACTTTTCATTCAAGTTTTTGTTTCCAGGCTTTTATTTTGAGAAACTTTTTTCCTGTAACTTTCTTCCGTGAAGTGGGACACCCTGTAGTCCCTCAGAGAACAAACAAAGTATAATACCAAATTTATGATCTAACGATAGCCATCATTACTTTAAATAATTTGTTATATAAAAATGGAAAATTAAATGGTATGTTTTGTGTTATGATCGTTAAAAAAGAATGATTAATCTGTGTTTTTGTTCAGTAAAAACCAGAAAGTTCTGGAATAGAAAGACGACTTTATTACTCGGTTAATCGACAAATGAACATGAGACACCGCAATTTTGCACTGAACACAAACACATTTCACTAAATAATTGATTTTAAAAGTTATATTAGTATAACTATTTGCTTTTTTATGTCAATGTCGTCTTCCTATTCCACGGTCTCTTCTGGTTCTCACTAAAGATCATCACAATTCAGCTGCAGTATCATAATCAAAATATGTAAATATTGTTAGTTTTGTTAAATAGAACATGTACTTTGTGATGTCATTTTAATATTATCAAATATCAAATATCAAAATGATATCATAATTTGTGTTAGAAATCCGAAAGTATTTACTATTAGTTTTGAATATAAATAAAATTGAAAAAATACCATACTAATCATTTAATCATAATAAACCATGGATTTTTTTTTGCAGAAATTATTTAAATGTTAGCTTTTAATTAATTTTCAGAATAAAGGCATCTCTATTACTGTTTGCACAGACAAAAGCTTCAAGCAAAGGCCCTTCCTAGAAAGACCCCCCGGCCCTAACCTAGGGGCGTACTGCACGTGGATACAGCGGTATGGTCCTTATCTCTGAGAACTGAGACAATTTGACCAATTAATCATATTTTTTCCCTAAAATGTGTTGAATTATACACAAAACGCGATTGAATTCAAAACAGAGGAAAACGAATGCATCTCGCCTTGGTTAGTCCGGGGTGACTGGGAGAGGCTTAGAACCCTGTGTACCCCATAATTATGCTCTCTAGGCCAAATATATTCAACATATATATAAATTATTTTCTTATCAATTAACAATTTGTACATTTTATGATAATTTATCAAATTCTTTCTGTTAGACCTTATATTCTTTACGATTTTTTCGCTGGGTTTCATTTTAAATCCATATCAGTTTAAGATGTTTGACCAGAGGCGTTAAGAAAGTATTATATACATTAAGAAAAGTGCAGATGGTTTGGGAACAAAATTTGTTTTTTAAAAATTTCACCCCCTAGGCTAATACTCTACTACATAGCCCCATCAGCATCTACGCTATTAGGCTTTAAAAAGTTTATACTACGGAATACGTAAGATTTGTTGGGAATACAAACTAACGAATGAGTGTAACAAATTTTTCCAAAAATTTAACCGTTACGAGCTATATTTTGAATTTAAGTAAAAAAATACAAATAAAATAAAAAAGCATTTTTACTTCAAATCTCTCTTATTTTTGAGCAAAACTAGCGGTAAATAAGAGATTCCCCATAATTCAGGAAGGATTCAAATCGGTAATTTAAATTTAATTGCAGGTGGTTTAAATTCATTAAATTTGGTTCCTGGTAAAAAAGTTGGAATTTTAATGAAGAATCAAAATATGACAAAAATATATTAGACAGGGTTGAATTTGTTATTTTAACATGTATTTACTAAATATAATGAAGAAAAAATACAATGATTGTTGCACACTGCACGTCTGAAGTGTAAGCGTAAGTAGATATTAAGATAAAAGAAAAATGAAAAAAAAGGTTCCAACTCCACCAAAGCTGTCAAGTAACTGGAACTTAATTACAAGGTAAGGACTATCTTTATGATATAGTAATCTTCAAATAATTATCTTTTCGTATCAACATTTAATAAATAACTATCAAAACCATTAAGGGTTAGTTTTAGTTAAAGTATTTTCTAATGGCAATAATTTTAATATTTGTGAAAACTTCAGAAAAAGTCCTTGATCACAGAGGTAAATTCGGACCTTTAAAGATATATACAATTATGTTAATATAAAATACAGCTTAGTGCTTTCTGAATGGATTAGCAACATTAAAGTTTCAATTTGGGCGCTTTTGTCTAAAGTGAGCAAAGATCAAATACTTTTTTTCATAATGGCGCTATCTGCAACGTCTGAACTGAACTGATCTTAGAAACGTTTTTATTAAGTCCGTAAAAAACAGCTATTCAACAGAAATTAAATTAGTCTGTCGAAAAGTAAAAAAGCTATGGGATAGAGATTTCTTTAAACATTTACAATATGAAAAATACACTGAAATATATATGATTGTAAAAAAAACTTGTTTGAGGACAATTTCTTTCTTTTTATTTGAGTATAGTGTACTTGTATGAATAATGTTCACTGTTATGGAGAATATAAAAATAAAATAGAATATGTAAATTATTTCTCTTCCACTCAGTGCAAATTTAAACGTGCATTGGTAATTTTTAAAAATGGAATTTTTACCATGATAGAATGGTAATTCATCTTTTATTTCTTATTCTATATCTTATATCATATTCCTTATGTATGTTTCACCTAGTCTTTAAAAACTTCCTAAACCTACCCGATTTGCGTTGAACATGATATAACTCTAAATTTGTAAAGAATTTTCAGAATTTTGAAAACTTACTCAAATAGATCAATAAACTGATTTTTTTTCTCTCCAATTTTTAGTATTAAGAAAAATAGTTTTATTGAAAAGCGCACTAAGTTCTATAAAAATGTGAACGAAGATAAAAATTGTTCATTATTTTTTTGTAAGTTTTATAATTACTTTCTATAATGTTCGTTTTCTGAAACAGCAGTTTATATCTGTTTTATATAGGATGGAAACTATTTTATCCTCCTAATTCTACACTACAATATTCCAATCCATTTACTATACATGTATTTACTTCAGAATATTAACTTAAAAATTGAAACCAAATTATTTCTAGGTTTTTTAATTGTTGGTAACAAAATTCTTTAAAATAATTTTTATATTTGAAATCTTCGAATGCACTATTCATTGTGATATAACTTTGATTGGTTATAATTTTTTTCAGCAAAATTATTTTGAACTTTTGCAAAATTTGCAAGACTTTTTGATTGAAGTTTAAGGATTTACAAAAATATTTTTTTTTTGTGGGGACCTTTCTGAATTCAAACAGCTATAAAATTGGAAGGTTTTCAATTATGCATGCAAAAAAGTGAAATATATTTGAAATATAACTGTGAACACATGTATGTTTTTTTTTAATATCTTGGAAAAATATTCCTAGCTGTGGTTACTTTGATACATATTTTTTTCATACTCTTTAGAAAAGAAAAACTGTTTAAAAATGGTTAGAAAATGCGATTGTAAACAACGAAATCAGCTCTGATCATAACTCATGGTGTTTAAGTGTGTTTCAATAACTTTATAAATTATTTTAAATTTAACTATTTCTATTTCAAAAGAGTCGGAGTGAAAGAATTATATTGAAGAATTTGAAACAGTTTTAATGAAATAATTCTTATTGCATCTAGACAGAAAACTTTCATTTAAAAATCTAAAATATTTCTATTCAAAAAATTCCTTTACATAAATAAGAATAGAAAAAAAGTAGTAATAATAGAAATAATTAATAGAAACTGGTGGTGGATTGTTAGTATTTTTGTCCCCTGTCGCGTAAGTAAGATTCAAACCATTGTAATGTGTTGCCCCTGATTCCTGCGTTTTTCAGTTTTTTACATAATAATCTTGCAATCAATACAGTCGAAGCATGTCAAGTTAGGCAGATTCGTTATTATTTAGTGCGCTGAAAATGTAGTCTACAACATTACGTCCTGGCAAAAAAACAAATTAATTTGTTTAAATGTTTAAAAAAAGTTATAATTGTTGAGAAATAAAAGCATTATTTTTTCCAATATTTTAGAAAATCCATTGATTAATCTGATTGGACGAAAATTAAATAAGTTGTCTTTTTTATCTTTTTTATAAATATGAATAGTTCTGGACATTTTCCAACAATTAGGGAATACCTTGTCTCAAGGCTTACATTATAAATGTAAGATAAAGCAGGGGCTATTTCTGTTGATACATTTTTAAGCAATTTTACTGAACCTCCAATTTTATCCTCAGAGTTTTTGTTTTCGAGTGTTTCTACTTCTTCCATTATCTCTACTGGATCAGTTGGAAAATAAGCAAAGTAATGCCAGAATTAAAACAAAAATCAATATAGTGAAAGTACGACAATATTGCTAACTAATACTGATGGAAGATTTGTAAAAATGTTTGCAAAATATTATTTATCGGTTCTTTGTCACTATTTTCATTTGCAAAGTTTCAATATAGATGTTTGTGTACTTTTGTATTATGTAATATGTTGTTATTTGCCTGTAGTAAACACCTACTCTATAACAAGTTCTCGAGCATGTATCTATCCAGGTAAAATAAAACTCAACCAAGACGGAATCCCAGGCTCTAAATGCCACACAGGGACACAACCGTAGCTATGAAAACCCAGCTACTAATCCAGGGACACAAGCCTAGCTATTAAACACGCTTTATATCGATCCTAAATGATAGGGAAAATCCAACGCTTAAAATGTCACACAGGGACACAAGCCTAGCTATAAAACACGCTATATATTGAGCCCAAACGATGAGGGACGATCCTGTGCTCTACATGTCACACAGGGACACAAGCCTAGCTATACAACACGCTATATATTGATCCCAAATGATGAGGGACGATCCGGTGCTCTTAATGTCACACAGGGACACAAGCCTAGCTATACAACACGCTATATATTGATCCCAAATGATGAGGGACGATCCGGTGCTCTAAATGCCACACAGGGACACAAGCCGATTTATACAACAAGCTATACATGAATCCAAAATGATGAGGGACGATCCGGTGCTCTTAATGTCACACAGGGACACAAGTCTAGCTATACAACAAGCTATATAATATTGATCCCAAATGATGAGGACGCCTCCTAATTCTCACCTGTCCTTGTATGAATGTCAGGTGCGTTAACTTTCCAGCAGTTGGCGCTGTATCTCCTGCTGTGCGGTCAACACAGTTTCCTGTCACATGCAATACACGTATCAGTGATATCAAACACCGTTTGAAAAAAAAATCGCTATGCACTCTTAAGAGAAAAACCTGAAAAGAAGTGCGCTTTGCTATTTCACATTTGCGAGATCGATAAAATCGTGATTGATAAAATTATATAGTGCTGGCTAAATGTTATTTGATTAGAGTAAATTTGATAAATTTAAATAAAATAGAAAGTAGGCATATACATTTTACAAGTTTTAACATTGTAAGCTCATGGTCAAATTGTTTTGCATTACATTTAATAAAATCAAATTTATTTTATTATACAGATTAACTCATTTATATCATTAATAAATTGGCACGTTTTACTTAATTATTTCAGAAATAAATGTAATGCACTTTTTATAAAAATAACTATTTCTTCTTTTTATGTTTAAATTGCATTTTTTTTATTCATATAGTGTTAACAAATTGAATCACTTCAAATATGTATTCTTATAACTTGACTGACTGAAAGGGAGTGACTGGCATTAATAGGGAGTAGAGGTCTTATTTCTAGACACTACTTTGATACAAATTTTTTTCATACTCTTTAGAAAAGAAAAACTGTTTACAAATGGTTAGAAAATGCGATTGTAAACAACGAAATCAGCTCTGATCATAACTCATGGTGTTTAAGTTTGTTTCAATAANTTTTTACAACAAAAAAATCTTCATTTTGAGTGGAAAAGGTGGCGCCGCAAGGAAAATTAATTAGGACTAGTGTTTGCTATATATTCTTGCGCTTCTAATTTTTTCAGGGGGGTATTTTCAAGAGAGGTGGACGACCCCCACCCTATAAGCCACCTCTATAGTTACTCTGTAAAAGGGTAAACGTACGTGTCTTGTCTTTTTTTCCCAGGAAGAAGAGAACACTAATCCATTTGATTTTAATGATATTTTCACTCGCATTTAGCAATCATTCCCTTTATAGGGAATGTCAACGTAATCCCGGCCGATTCATAACATTAACCTTTAAACTTTAATCATTCACGACAGAGACATACCCATTCTTCTTGCGGAGAGATGCAATCCCGGCCGATTCATAACATTAACCTTTAAACTTTTGCTTAATCATTGACGACAGAGACATACCCATTCTTCTTGCTGAAAGTTTGCCCATGATGTGCGTACACAGTTTGAATGACGCTGCATGGTTCCAAAAGCCATTAATTTTTCAGTTAAAAAAATACGGATATCTCGTCGTCGTCTAAAAATGGAGAGTTAATTGATTTGAAATTAATGTCATCAAACCTGTTAAGTTCTGATTTTCGAATGTTTACATTTTACTTGATGTTTAAGTTTGAATATTTGAGTTGTTTTCTACACTATTTTTTAACACAGTAATTACACAATTAGGCATCTCTGATTCGGCTTTCTCTTGCATTCCAACATTTCCTCTGTAATCACATGATTAGTTCAGAACTACACAAATGTGAGATAATTGAGGACAAATTTACAATCAATTGATCCCCTATTAGTGTCGTTGATAAGATGATTAAGCCAAAGTGGATATTTATGAACAGAATTTTAGAGATGTACTTTGGAAGATTCCTTACTTTTTCTTCATAATTTTGAGCTAAATGGTTTCTATAGTTTGATATTTTGAACAAAATGGTTTCTGTAGTTTGATATTTTGAACAAAATAGTGTCTGTAGTTCGATATTTTGAACAAAATGGTTTTGTTGTTCGATATTTTGAACAAAATGGTTTCTGTAGTTCGATATTTTGAACAAAATGGTTTCTAGTTCGATATCATAAATGAAATGGTTTCTGTAGTTTGATATTTTGAACAAATGGTTTCTATAGTTTGATATTTGGAACAAAATAGTGTCTGTAGTTCGATATTTTGAACAAAATGGTTTCTGTAGTTCGATATTTAGAACAAAAATGGTTTCTGTTGTTCGATATTTTGAACAAAATGGTTTCTGTTGTTCGACATTTTGAACAAATGGTTTCTCTAGTTTGATATTTTGAACAAAATGGTTTCTGTAGTTCGATATTTTGAACAAAATGGTTTCTGTAGTTCGATATTTTGAACAAAATGGTTTCTTTAGTTCGATATTTTGAACAAAATGGTTTCTTTAGTTTGATATTTTGAACAAAATGGTTTCTGTAGTTTGATATTTTGAACAAAATAGTTTCTGTAGTTTGATATTTGGAACAAAATAGTGTCTGTAGTTCGATATTTTGAACAAAATGGTTTCTGTTGTTCGATATTTAAACAAAATCGTTTCTGTAGTTCGATAATTTGAACTAAATGGTTTCTGTAGTTCGATATTTTGAACAAAATGGTTTCTGTAGCCCGATATTTTGAACAAAATGGTTTCTATAGTTCGATATTTGGAACAAAATGGTTTCTTCAGTTCGATATTTTGAACAAAATGGTTTCTGTAGTTCGATATTTGGAACAAAATGGTTTCTTCAGTTCGATATTTTGAACAAAATGGTTTTTGTTGTTCGATAATTTGAACAAAATGGTTTCTGTTGTTCGATATTTGAACAAAATGGTTTTTGTAGTTCGATATTTTGAACAAAATGGTTTCTTCAGTTTGATATTTTGAACAAAATGGTTTCTGTAGTTCGATATTTTGAGCAAAATGGTTTCTTTAGTTTGATATTTTGAACAAAAGGGTTTCTGTAGTTTGATATTTTGAACAAAATGGTTTCTATAGTTTGATATTTTGAACAAAATGGTTTCAATAGTTTGATATTTTGAACAAAATGGTTTTTGTAGTTCGATATTTTGAACAAAATGGTTCTTCAGTTTGATATTTTGAACAAAATGGTTTCTTTAGTTTGATATTTTGAACAAAATGGTTTCTTTAAATTGATATTTTGAACAAAATGGTTTCTTCTGTTCGATATTTTGAACAAAATCGTTTCTGTTGTTCGATAATTTGAACAAAATGGTTTCTGTAGTTCGATATTTTGAACAAAATGGTTTCTGTAGCTAATGTGAGGGTGCTAAGATTAAGAATTCTCAATTTAAAGATTTACATAAAAATTTAGAGATATTGTCTTGATTTAAGTTTTACCCATTCCAAAGCTAACTTACTGTAGAGATTTTCTAACTTACAAAGTGCAGAGCAACAAAATCCCTTAAATGCATTAGACAATTAGATATTATAACGTTTTAGAAATATAAACATGGGGATGTATAACCCTAACATGGTGAAAATACCCTTGGAGACCTTTACATACAACAATCAGAGTGATGTTATCAAGGTGATTTCTATTTTAAAAATTTTATATCTATAAAAATAACATTTAATGAATATTAAAAGCTTCAGTTCTTAACTGATCTAAGCATAAAGAAAGTTATATTTTTAAGATTTAGAAAATTAAAAATTGATACGTTTAAATCATGTTCTCAAATTCATTGATCTGTGGTTTCCAGAAAAACGTAAAACAGTTGCTGTCTTCTCTTTTAATTCGTGAATTTCACTAAGGTTCAAAATACTTTTTTTGTAACTGATACAGGGTTACCCACATAGGATGAGACTTCCTAGAAAATTGTATTAAATTTATTTAATCCATTTCCTTGCATTCAGGGTTCCTTGTAGACCAAAGCTGGATTATTTCTGTGCTTAATCATTTAGTAAAACATCAAAACACTCAATTGAGAGAAGATACAAAAGCAAGCTTAATATTGTCATATTTTATGCGTTTTGGGTCGTCTTTACAGTCTCATGCTTTATGGGTAACCCTAAATATTTCTGCAGATCTCAAGTAGCGAAAATATGCAAAAAAGGATAATGACAATCATTCCACTGTTTTCTGGGAACCACAGTAACAACAATAATTTTTCCTTGTTAAAGGGCGCACAAGTCATCCGGAGTTCAAAATGGAACAAGGATTCACAGAGATACAAATTTACGGAGTATTTAGGTAAACAAGTATAGAAAAAAATCATATAAAATGTTTAGTATGCCATTAAACTAGGCAATCACAGTCTTTTTGGGAACAAATGATAAATCAAATTTGTAAATAAGATATCCACGGATGGACCATTGACAAATAGATGCCCGTGGTAGCTTTTCCCATCGCAATGTGTACCGTAAGACCTAACCTATTTTTTTAGCTCAATATCTATAAAAATCTATTTTAAAATCGCTGCTAAAGGTTTAAAAAGTCTATTACATACCTCAAAAAAAATCTTTTATTTACGAAGTCAAATATAATTTTCTTCGTAATTGTCCAAAAATATTAAATTCGTTAAAATTTTTGACAAATTTCAAAAATTGAGTTTGGTTCAAAAAAACCTTTTTTTAAAAAAAATAGCATTTCTGACTGGTTTTTAAGCCTAACTCATTCATTTCTTATATTTTTTTAAGTTCCCTCATTAAAAACGAAGAAATTAATATCTATCATTTTTGTTATGAATCTTTTTTACTTTCTTTAGCCTTTTTAAAAATTGAAGGCAATTATCTAATAGAACTTGTGAGCTGTCAGCTAAACATTTTTAGGATTACGTGCCAATATATTTTAACATATCTTGAATGCGTTTTCAATTGAGTTGATAACTTATAAATCGGATCCATTTTTGGTTTAATAGATTGAGTATATATGCCACACAAAAATATTCTAAAATAAGTTTTTATCTTTGATAAGCGATTTTATACTTTAATTTGATTTTATTATTTAAAATAGATGTTCTTATTTCTTAAATGTTCAAATTAAAAAAAGAAAATTTATTAAAAGAAAAATGAGATAAATAAATAATATTATATTCAAACTTCCTGAAAAATAATGTTGAAAAGGGCATTAATCTGTTGTTCTGATCATATTTCTTTTTAATAATTTAGTAATTTTAAAATATAAACGTTTAATATAAATCAATAAACTTAGTAAAGATGTAATTTTTCAATTATCAATTATATTATTATAAAGATTTATTCACACACAAAGATATAAATACATATATAAATGGTGTAGTTTAAATTTGTTTAAATAAATTTTTGAAAATAAAGGTTTCTAAAAGAAAAAAGAAAATATGCAAAATTATGCACAAATAGAAAACATTGATTTTTACTCACTACATAACATATTTATCATTTCAGTTATTACGTAATCATCGAATCCTTCAACATATAAATTATTCATTCTTGTACTTAAAAGTTCTTGTAAAACCGGAACTTTCCATTCATGTTCCAATGGGACATCAAAATATTTCATTTGCTTCTTAACTAACATTTTACTAAGATTCGAGAGATTTACAAAACAATCATTCGCAATAGAAAATAAATTTCTGCCAAGAACTATGTTAAGGTCGTTTATTGATTATGAACATTTCTGTATTTGTTTATTTTTAATTAGAAGATGACTGCAGAACCATTTATGATGCTTTCAGACGAGGAGCAGCAAAGGTAAATATAAAGAAACATAACATAGTCGAGTAGTTGAGAGTATCCTAAAAGTTTGGCATACTAAACTAAACTAAAGATACTACTGCATACTTTATTTTAATAGATAAATACTAAAACATATAGCCAATTGTATTGAAGTGAGCCCCGCAAGGTGATATGGCAAGTAGGGTTTCCAGCAAGCAAAATCTTTCGCGAAAAAATGCGAAAATTTTTATTCGGATTTTGCAAATTTTTTCGCAAAATTTCTAAAAAAAATCTTTTCGCGAAAAAAAATGTCCGCAGAATCCAGTGCAGTAGTTTATTATATCATGATTAATAATTTCTCTTCCGTATTTTTTTCGAACAAATTTCGCATTCTTCCCCCCGAAATTTTCGCGTTTATTTTTCGCAACATTTTCGCAGTTTTTTTTCGCGAAAATTTAGCATTTTTTATTGATATAGATTAAAGCAGAATTTCTGAAGAAAAAAATTAAAATTTTCGCTTTCTTCCCCCCGAAATTTTCGCGTTTATTTTTCGCAACATTTTTGCAACATTTTCGCAGTTTTTTTTCGCGAAAATTTAGCATTTTTTATTGATACAGATTAAAGCAGAATTTCTGAAAAAAAATTAAAATTTTCGCATTCTTCCCCTCGAAATTTTTGCGTTTATTTTTCGCACCATTTTTGCAACATTTTCGCAGTTTTTTTTGCGAAAATTTAGCATTTTTTATTGATACAGATTAAAGCAGAATTTCTGAAAAAAAATTAAAATTTTCGCATTCTTCCCCCCGAAATTTTCGCGTTTATTTTTCGCAACATTTTTGCAACATTTTCGCATTTTTTTTTCGCGAAAATTTAGCATTTTTTATCGATACAGATTTAAGCAGAATTTCTGGAAAAAAAATTTAAATTTTCGCATTCTTCCCTTCGAAATTTTCGCGTTTATTTTTCGCAACATTTTCGCAGTTTTTTTTCGCGAAAATTTTGCATTTTTTATTGATACAGATTAAAGCAGAATTTCTGAAAAAAAAATTAAAATTTTCGCATTTTCTCGAGCGAACGGAATGCGAAAAAATTTTCGCGAAACGATTCACGCTTTTCGCTAAAAACACTATAGGCAGGACTGAATGTAGATTCCACAACCACTTCTTTATATACTAGTTCTCAAATAATCCTTTTTCTAACTCATGAATAAAATGTATACATTTTGATTTGTTTAAAGTCTAATGGTGGGATCTGTCTTGGCTGGAGGAACACTCATCTTTTACCCTATCAGGTAGTTCGTTATAGATCATCTATAACTGGTTCTTAAAAATGCCTCGATTGAAACAAAAATATGTATTGATAAAATAAAAAGAAACATCTTATATAATAAAGTTTTTCGCCATATTATATGTTAGCTATAAATAACTGCCCAAACAACTGGACCAGATGGCGAATTTTTTTTAGAAAACCCATAGAAACCTTGGGGCCTGGGGGTCACATTAGCTAAAAAATTTGATTTTTTTTTAATATAAAAATTGTTTTTCAAATATTTTTTTAAAATTCCACGGGCAATGATGGCCACTTCAGCTGGTTATATATAATCCTATTATGGATCGGCCTAAATATTACAACAGCTCTTAAATTTTTCCAATCTTAAAATTAATTTTTTTAAAGTCTAAAAGTTAACATATTTTTGAGATAACATATTAATATATTTATTTAAATTCTTTTTTTCAGTGGTTGACCTACGAAGAAGTTTTGCTTAGAGCCCAAAATTTTGGTTCAGGCAATAATATAATATAGACAAAATCTATAAAACCGATAAACAATTGTTTGCATAAAAATGTGATTTTTTATTTTCTCTAAATAGTCTGAGAATGGTTAACGAGCATAACTTTTCTAGTGCAAAATTTACCACACTAGATAATAAATTCAACTATCCGTACCTGGTTCAACTATATCTCGCTATGCTATATGCATGACTTCATTTACATAGAGATTTAGGGTCGGGAAGAATTTTTGTTGCAGTTAGGTCATGCAGAATAATTTCTGAGGCCGAACAAGAGTTTTGGGTACAATTTTATCCTGCAGAGTTATTTCTGAAGCCGAATAAGAGTTGTGGGTGCAATTTTATCATGCAGAGTTATTTCTGAAGCCGAATAAGAGTTTTGGGTGCAATTTTATCATGCAGAGTTATTTCTGAAGCCGAATAAGAGTTTTGTGTTAAATTTTATCATGCAGAGTTATTGCTTAAGTTTGATAAGAGTTTTGATTTCAGTCAGATCATACAGAGTAGCTTCTATAGTTAAACTAAATATTTAGATGCAATTAGATCAGGCATAGTTTATAATTATTTCTGAAGTTTGTAAAACGTTTTGTGTGCATTAAGATCATGCAGAGATTTAGCTGAAAATAAATAAGAGTTTTAAGTTTAGTTAGGTCATACAAAATTATCGCTTAGGTTTGATTAAAGTTTGGATTACAATAAGATCATGCAGAGATAAAGATTTGAAAAAAATGTCAACAAAATATCGAAAAACTGTAAAAATATATATATTTTTTAAATGTTTCAACATTCGTTTTTCACGTGCTTTCAAATATGCAGTTTTGAGATCTATAGCTTAAATAACAAAAAAGTGATTGGCCATTTTTTACCGTCATATGCATTAAAAAATCCATCAAATTATTTATCCTGAAAAATTCAGAAATTTCGAGGTAATAGTCGAGGTAGAGTGCTAAGGCAAAAAAAATTAGGCTATTAGGGTTAAGAGGAAGTTTTTGATTGATGCAGTTTGATCCAATTCCAACTTAGATTATATTTCTAAATGTGTATTTATGGTTTCTTGATGAAATTAATGCAGAGAGGATCTTGATGCAATTAAAACACTGAGTTCTTTCAATGAAACTGGGGATGGTTAAGCAATTATTGAAAAGGTTCGACTTCTGAAAGAACCAAAATAAACCTTAATGGGTTAAAATAAAGTTCCTATCTAAAGGGACTGTAGAATAAATTTCAAGTGACCATCCATCACTGTTAAGTTTGGTTCAAGAACCGGGCCGTCATCTATAACCTGCTATAAGAGGGACCTGAATACAGGCACATATAGATTATACCAGGCTAAAAAACGGAACGGTACACCAAATGAACCAATCCCTTCTCTGGAAATCTCAATGCAATGGTACCCTTTGAACCTTTGATTGGTTATCGAGGACTTAGAGCTCATTGAATATGTCTCTTAAATGTTAAGTGAAAAGCCGTTAAGAAGGAGTGTATACTGTATATGTTAGCCGACTGTGTCAACTCAACATGGATGACGTCATGTTTATTACTGGAAAGCCTACAATCTTCTGTTTTCAATAATTCGAATATTAATCGATAAATTTTACAACTTCTAGAAAGTAAATTTTAAAGGGTATTGTTGTGAATCAGAAGATCACTTGAAATTATAATTACAGTTTCTTTAATGGTCGATTTTATACTTTGGTCTGCATAACAACATTTTATACAGATATAAGATTCTTCATCTTCAATTTTATGGATTCCAATGTATTATGCAAATTATCTTCTCGTCTGCAGTGTATCCTGTTAGAGATAATATTCATATTAAACCAACAAGGTATTAATATCAGGTTTAACATTGAAAAAGATATACATCTAGTTGTTTTATCTGAAAAAGTGTTAAATTCTGATGATTTTCTTCATTGTCTCTGCTGCCTATATTATCAAATCACTTTCAGAGAGACCCCAAAAATTATAATTTCCAGTTTAGATGAAAACAAGAAAATCATCTTTTTTCGCGAAAAATCAAAGGGTCTAGGCAAAGATCGAATTTAATTCGGTATCATTTGCTACTATTTTTACATCTGTTGTAAGGAGAAAATGGTTAAAAACATCTTATACCCAAGAGCGTAGGATCCATATAAATCCAAGCAGTTGCATTATTCTGCTCAGATCATAAATAGTATAATTAAATTTAAAATTTATTATTCAGATGTTACAACCTATTAGTGTCGAATTCAAACCGCTGCATTCGTGTAAAGTTATTATTTCAAAATATTTTTCTAAATTTCCGATGTATTCTTAACGACGAGTATTAGACCTATTATTTGTTAATAAACCACTTTTGTAATTTTCTCCTTAGATTATATCCAATAACCTTTATTATTGTTTATATTATTGTGTGAAGGTCTAATCTCAATGGGATTACAGCCAGGTCTACACACCATGGTCGGAATATATTCAAGGTATAACAGGAATATTTAGTACTGTAGTCGTTTTCAATGTCTTTTATAACTCCTTTTTTGCTTATTGAAGACCATTTTGTACACCTAATTGAGGTTTGCAATGCCAATATAAATTATTCATAAGACTGGTTTATATTAAAGGCACTGTAAGCGTAATCTATAAAATGCCCTGTCAGATTCACAACGTTACCCTGCAAAGCTTTGTCTTATTAAGAAGTTTGTAAAAAATATGAAATTTATAATATTTAAATTATTTAAAATATTTAAAAATAAGCTGGAAGAGAACAAAAGCAAAAACAACACCATTGTTTACATTGAAGTTTTCATCGGATAGTTCAAGAACTCCTTATCAAAGTAAAACTTGTTCAATAGTGTCAAATATAAACAAAAAAGGTGATTACTCACCTCAAACTTTAACTCTATGTCGTCTTTGATATTTCTAACTTTGACAATTTTATACCGTGCAAAATTCACAGTTTGAAAGGTAAAAAACGTTAGGTTTCAGAGAGATATGGACTCGGAAATTAGAGATCGAGGCTAGTTATTAAATCAATTTTACTGTTTTTGACGTATGTTTTTTTTAAATTAGTTATAACTAAGGACAACTTTGAAAAGAATTAGATTTTATGGACTTTGTTGTGAGTGCTTTTAGATATCATCCTACAGGGGAACCTAAAAACGAGTTATAATTAATCTTATTCGTATTTGAAATTATGCATAATGCGAGTAGCTTAAAAATTAAATTCAAAAAGTGAAATAGGTCTTTTTACTTTTTACTTATGATTATAAGACCATGTAAAATCATAACTTGAGTCTGTTAAGCTGTGTTTCCATTCCAAAGTTTTATGAGTCCAACTGTTCCTAAAGTCCAACCGTTCCTAAAGTCCAACTGTTCCTAAAGTCCAACTGTTCCTAAAGTCCAACAGCTCCTAAAGTCCAACTGTTCATAAAGTCCAACAGCTCCTAAAGTCCAACTGTTCTTAAAGTCCAACTGCTCCTAAAGTCCAACTGTTGCTAAAGTCCAACTGTTCCTAAAGTCCAACTGCTCCTAAAGTCCAACTGTTCCTAAAGTCCAACAGCTCCTAAAGTCCAACTGTTCTTAAAGTCCAGCTGTTCCTAAAGTCCAACTGTTCTAAAGTCCAACTGTTCTTAAAGTCCAACTGTTCCTAAAGTCCAACTGCTCCTAAAGTCCAACTGTTCTTAAAGTCCAACTGTTCCTAAAGTTCAACTGTTCCTAAAGTCCAACTGCTCCTAAAGTCCAACTGTTCCTAAAGTCCAACTGTTCCTAAAGTCCAACTGTTCCTAAAGTCCAACAGCTCCTAAAGTCCAACTGTTCATAAAGTCCAACAGCTCCTAAAGTCCAACTGTTCTTAAAGTCCAACTGTTCCTAAAGTCCAACTGTTCCTAAAGTCCAACTGCTCCTAAAGTCCAACTGCTCCTAAAGTCCAACTGTTGCTAAAGTCCAACTGCTCCTAAAGTCCAACTGTTCTTAAAGTCCAACTGTTCCTAAAGTTCCTAAAGAAAGTACTTTTGAAAAGTATTTTAAGGTTTTTCTGATTCCTTGTCCTGCCAAATGTGGAATGTTCGGTGTGTAAAGAATGTTATATTGGATATAGAGGATATATATAAAACATATAGAACCAGATACAGTTTACAGCCTCAGTCACAAATACTTTTGTCATTTTAAACCTGGTCTTCTTTTCTGTACTTTTTCTAAACGTTTGTTTTACTACTTTGACGATAACGCCATGCCAGCAAAATCGGAATTATTTTTTAAAAAACCGTCTAAAGAATTTTTTTAAAATTTTAGAACCTTTTTATCCTGGTGTTAATTTGTTAAAAGAAAAAACTTGCTGATTAATAAAACGGAAAGTATGTTTTAAACCTTGGTCGCTTATACTCAATTTTAAACTAAAATTTTATATATGAGAAAAAATGCATATCTCTAATATGCTATTTAAAACAAGTTACATTTTGCTGCAGTACATTTTTTTGTAGTCAACAATTTATTTTTTGTTTTAATTAAATTTATTTAATTTTTAGGAACTGTCCTGAATGGGTGATTTGTGAGCAGGAAAACATACTATTTCTATCGGATTTTTATAAGAAAAATATCAGAAAACTTCTTCTTTTTCCGACAAAAAACTTCACATTACAACATTGAATACTTTGAACCTATTAATCTTCAGATTTCACGACATGACATAATACATAATTTTAAAGGGACAGTTAATCTACAGTTTGACTAGAGTTAGGAAGAATATGTTTGAAAAGAAACTGTTCACCTACAGTTTGACTAGAGTTAGAAAGAATATGTTTAAAAAGGGACTTTAACCTACAGTTTGACTAGAGTTAGAAAGAATATGTTTAAAAAGGGACTGTTCATCTACAGTTTGACTAAAGTTAGGAATAATATGTTTACAAAGGGACTGTGCATCTAAAGTTTGACTAAAATTAGGATGAATATGTATACAAAGGGACAGTTCACCTACAGTTTGACTAGAGTTAGGAATAATATGACTAAAAAGGGACAGTTCACCTACAGTTTGTCTAGAGGTAGGAATAATATGTCTAAAAAGAAACCGTTCACCTATAGTTTGTCTAGAGTTAGGAAGAATATATTACAAAGAAACTGTTCACCTACAGTTTGACTAGAGTTACCCGTGTAAACCCAAGAGGTCTAATTCATAGACTTCTCTGACTTTCCTGACTTACTGGTCGACAAAATCAAGATGAAGCATGGAATCTCAGTAACTTGATACAATTTTGTAAATATATTTCCCCCCCCCACTACCGCCCTACTTCCCTATTTCCATTTTTAGGCTGATAGCTGACAGCCCGACCAAGAAAGTTATACCTCAATATATCCTTTATAATTAACACATGTGTTACCCCTCCAATATGCTGCTTCCCTATTCCCCATTATTGGCTAGATGTCTATTTTAGTTAGAAAAAAGTTACCCCTCATGATACATCCGGATCAAATATCAAATATGTTTTCAGCAAAGAAACTGTTCACCTACAGTTTGACTAGAGTTAGGAAGAATATGTATAAAACGGGACTGTTCACCTACAGTTTGTCTAGAGTTAGGAATAATATGTTTAAAAAGGGACTGTTCACCTACAGCATGGTGTCTGTTCCCCTCTACGATTCCTTAGGTAAATCTAATCTAATTTAATATGCGGTCCCATTTTTTAGGAATATTTTTTTCTTTACTTTACAAATTTTTTCTAAATTTCGAAACATTTAACAATTGATATAGTACTTTAAATGATAACTAACAACCAAAATAAAAAATGAAATCTCAACTCTTTTGAAAATAAAACAGTTATTATTTTAATAAATGTCTGGGTATCTTGGAAATTTCGTCATATGAGAAATTTCCAAAATCTTAAAAATATACCACCCTAAAATACCTAAACCTAGGCATTTTGGAAATTATCCATATGCCCAGGCATTGGGGAAATTTCCCAGATACCCAGGCATTTGAAAAATTTCCCAAAATTTCTAAAGGTATTGAGGGTGGTATTTCTTTAAGATTTTGGAAATTTCCAAAATCTTAAAAATATACCATCCTCCAATATCTGTAGGTATTTGGGAAATTTCCCAGATACCCAGGCAGTTGGAAAACAATAAAATAAATATATTCCATATCGCATGATCCCATCGAAACTGAGATTTATAATTATTTCGATTATGCTACCGGAGTAGGCATCTTGTGCGTAAAAATACAATTTTTCTAAAGAAACAAGAAACAGAATATAGTCTTCGCAACAAATCCCAATTCTTTAATATATATCCACAACCAAATTATGTAAACAGTAGATATTTCAAACTTTGATTGTTTGATATAACAGAAGCCATAGAATGAAATATCTAAGGTCTACAACATTGGGTTGTTAAGATACAGGGATATTAAAAACCAGAGTTTGTGGCAAAGACTTAATTCATGTCGGATACAATGCCAAATATTCACCTGAAAAACAGCAAAGTAATCTTCTAAGAAGAAAAAAAAACGGAAAATTAGAAATATTCTTAGTTAAAAAATTCACTTTTTTGCAATACTTTTAATTTTCAGGAGTTGATGCTAGATCGTTTGTGTTATCAGAATGTGATATGAGGGTAGGTGTAGAAATTTACTTTTTTATTGTTATCTCAGGTTTTAACTCAAAGGAATTAAGTCTTCGTCACAAACTCTAATTTTCAAATCCCTATATCTCTGCAACCCAATGTCGTAGACATTAGATATTTCCAACTATGTTAGATTGAATATTCAAAGTTTGAAATATCAAACGTTTACATTTTCAGGTTGCAAGGATATAGGGATACAAAACTTATGTTTGTGGCAAAGACCCTTCATTAATTTTTACCCTAATTTTTGTAGTTGATACATACAATTTTACTTTAAATTAAAAACAAGCAGGAAAAAAGGTTAAAAAGTTTAAAATTAAATTAACGTGTAAAATGAAGAATATGGTTTAGGTGGTTATAGTGTATAATGAAGAAAATGCCAAGAATGTATTAGATAGTAATCCTCCCCCCTGCCTAAAGGTAAGTTAACACAACTCAAAGGTTTTAAACATTATTATTCTTCTACTTATAGCTATGGATATAAAGTTTTATAAAACCAAAAGTTGCTTGTTTCTAAATTCTTTTTAAAAAAAATCTAGAAAGAATTGTACAAGTATCTCAGTAATCAGTGATGACTATTTATAACCGAAAAAAATAGCTACATACAGTAATAACCAAACAACTCAGGAATTGGAAGACTACTTTTAATATCAAGTCAAATATTGTCTAATGAGCCTGAGAGGCTGAGACACACAGTAACTATACAGTATAAACAGACCCATATCCCTTAAATAGTGATTTAATGTGTCAAGTAAAGCTATTTGCTTTGTAACAAAATCAAATCCACTTGAGTATTGCTATGATGTCGTCTTCCTATTCCTTTGTTTTCTTATTCTCACTGTATAACTGCAAACAATATTGAATATTAATTCTAAAAATGGATTCATTAACCCCTTAGTTAATAGTTGTGATTACATATTGAGTGTCTAGATATATCTAGATTTTTTTTTACACAAGAAGATAATATACATTCTTCATACATATTAATGGTTAAGTTTATATCTTTCTCATTGTGTATCTTGGTTATAAAATCGTATTTAAAGCTTAATCAGTCTATGTATTTTTCATCAATTATCTTCTTCCAATGTACTAATGTTGCAAAAAAAGAAACTGAACACTCTTCACTATCTTTTAATTTCTAATTCGTAAATCTTTGCAACCTGTTCTTGCAAACCTTTGATATCTCAACATATGAATAGTATTAAATTAAAAGTCAAAGTGTTAAATATAAAGTTCTACACTATCCGGTTGCAAAGATATATGTATTTGAAAACTTAAAAACACAGTGGTAAGTAATCAATTATTTTTAGGTGTTAATAACGATTAAAGATATCCGTCCTAGAGTGGTAGAGGAGGCGGATACAATGGGTATTAAGGTCGAATAATAACTTTAATTTCCTAATCTTATTAGGTCTTTTAGCTGTACAAAAGCTTACAAAATCACCCCATAATTATGAAAGTTATGGCTTTTTGGGCTAAAATTAGGAAAAATAATTTTTTTCTTTGCTTCTCTTTTATAAACCCTTAAAGATATATGCTGATCGAAATGGTGAACTTGTTTATCATGATTTTAAGGTAACTTACAAACATTTTGAAAGTGCTAGCACCAAAGCTGACCATGGGAGAAGCTGAAATGTGCTTTATGCACATATTTCTATATAACGCTTAAAGCTATATAACCTGCAAACCAAGCCAATTTTTGCATTTGCATCTATTTTTCTTGGATGTAGTACACATTAATTTTAGTTCTCTATGTGACTCAACTAATATTTGTTCAAGTAAAAATATACAATAATGAAATTTTTTGTAAAGTTTGATAAATCCGAAAAACCTAATATTTGAGTATAGTGTAGACAAGATAAGGTAAAATTCGACATCAATGGTACACAACTTCATAGTTCTTCTAGTTTTAATTATTTAATTTATACGGAAAATTATGAAAAAAGCATATTATTCGGTTTTACACTAGACAATCAAACATTTCTGTTCATCTTGATAGCTTTTTAATTAAAAGTGTTATAATAAAAAAAAACATATATGAACTCCATCTTCTGTAAAGTTTAAGCTTTAGTTTAATGTGATATAATTGCGACCAATTCTGTGTAAACTTTTTAGATGTACATTCAATTTTACACACTTCATAGTTTTCAGCTTTCACGTGGAATAGAAAATTTGAGTTTATTTAAAATACATTATTTTTGGAATCAGTCGCAAAACTAAGAAAAAAATAATATATCATTTTGTAGGTTCTCAGATTTACAGAAGTTGAGAAATTTGGTGCTAGAAATAAGGTAAAAAAAAGATTTTTCGTCTTTTTGCGATCTCCCAATATTTAGATTTAGAAAATGACATACATACAGCTTGAAACCCTTAATACATCGGAAGAATTTATCGAATGTCGTCTTGACAATTTTTCATAGAGTTTTATACTATATATTACGTAAATTTCAGTATTTGCGAAAATAAATAAATAGCTATGAATATGCGGGAACAGTTTTAAAGAGTTCCATATAATAATTCATTTAAAAAAACTAAATATCTGCAACATTCCATTATCAGAAAGTGAAGAATACGACATTTGATGAATTCTTTCGATGTATTCGTTATTAAGGGTTTCACTGTAGATAATTTAATATTACTAGATTTTTATGCAGTGAATACCATTAGACAAGGTTTGAGTACAGAAAAAGTATAAGTGGAGTTATTAGTTCGTTATCTGTAAGAAGATTAAGATTACAAAGAGAATCATAAATATGATTATTAAACAATGTCGTGTTCGTCAAATATAAAGTTCAAGCTACATAAAAGTTATTTAATAATTGTTTTGCATATTATCTTGCAACAAGAAATAAAAAGTGACACATAGTTGAATCGCGTAGATTATACAGATAGAACACTAGATGCCATCTTTTCAAGATTTAGAGTTTTTTATTCACAAAACCTCTGAGGAAAAAGCTCAAGGGAGTTACGCATGTTCTCTCTCTGTCTTGTAATTCAGCACTGCATGTGCGGAACTCATTTGGGCTTCTGCCTCAGTGTTATTGTGAACAAAGAAGCCATAAATCTTAAAAAGACGACATCTAGTGTTCTATCTTTATTGTTATTAATCCATGGTGTGCTATAACAAGATATCATTGAAATAACAAATATTTCCGCATTCATATTTCATAGAAATCAGGAACAGAAAATGTTGACATTTTATAGTCGCCATTTTTCTTTTTAATTTTCAAACATAACTTTTCGCGGATTTTTCAGTTTAATTTTTTTCGGTCAAACTATTTCAATTTTGAGGATCCAGAAACCTTCCCTGGGTAATTGGTAGCCTCTGCCAAAATTGTCTGCCCGTCAAGTTGAGCCTTGTTGACGTTTATTAGATACAGACAAACATACCAAATATAAATATATGAAGGAGAATTCTTCTGTTTAAACAAAGTGTGCATCTGTTCTAATCATAATTCTTAAAATTGACAAATGATAAAAAAATGAAGTGAAACCCTAAAATAATAAATACAAGGAACTCCCGATCTTAATTTACAGAAAAATTGTACTGCAATGTCAAAGAGAAATAAAAAAACGTTGATTTTGTTTAGATACATTTTGGGTATGTTTTCTATGTCTAAAATTTTATTTACACAATGTACTACGGAACTTACCCCAGTCCTAGAACCATGAGTTTGTTAAAATCCGGATTTATTTTTCTTCCCAAATCTTATTTACACTAAAAATTGATTTCAATTTGAAGGAGAAATATAAACAATCCTTTATTCACATGTCCGATGGGTGAAATTCAGGGGGGATGATAGTTCTCTACCTGAGTGCTGAGTTAGCTGTACTGTACACATACAACTGTTTACTAATATTGAAATACTATAGGTTAGGCCAGAATCAACTTACAATAAACAAATATGCAGTACACTGTCAGTATAGTTTATGGCCTATAAAATTAGTAAAGGATTAGCGTACATCATCACTCTATACACTTTAATCTCGTTGGTGAAATAGAAACAATGCAGAAGTGTACATTATTACTGAATCTTTTTGTCAAGGTTCCCGATGTGCCCCCTAACGTAGACGCAACAGCTACAATTTGCTTTGCAAAACTAGCAGCCTTTGGAGAAACAACTTCAGATAGACCAAAGGTACAGCTTTTTAGGGTCGGGATAGCAATCAATAAATGTCATACAACTGGCTTCATTGATTTAGACAGCCTATATTTTGTGCAGAAAACGTACTTGGCTTGTACATCAGATTAGTACGACCAGTGCCGGTAAATTCTTGTACCGGTTCGGATTCTGCACTTATTACATTTTTTGTCGGAATTGGGCATGAATTCAGAATTGAAATAATTTAATAATTAATCTAGAATTCATAAAAATCAATTTTATCTGAATTTATAGTTTACAATTTTTCAGATATAATTTTTTTTTTGATTTTTTTAAAGACTTTCTTGTAGGGCTGTGCAAAATTACTGCTGCGTCTTTGCGACCTGCAATACTACATTCTCAGATCAACTACCATACATTGCCAGTCACTCCCTTTAATCTATTTTCTGAACACATCAGACCAATCCACCGCTGTTAATAATTTCATCTTTTCTGTGTTCGCTTTGTTTTTATGTCTCTGTGTTTCAGGGAGTGATGCTCTCACATAGAAATATAATGGCTGCAACAACTGCATCTGTGCTTCAGGTGACAATAAAACTAAATCTAAAGGAACTGTTCACTGTAAACTAGATAATTTACAGAGGAAACAAAGATATTTAGTCTTTGCCACTGACTAAAATGTTCAAATCCACGTGTGTTTGCATCCTGACGGTGTTAACCTTTTAACATAATTCAAACTTAAATTATTTAATCTAACTAAATTCATAGTTTGAAATATCTACGACATTAGGATGCAAAGATATGAGATTAGAAAATCAGAGTTTGAGACAAGAACTCAGTATCTTTAAAATATTACAATAATTATTCGATCTGACTAAATTCATAGTTTGAAATATCTACGACATTAGGATGCAAAAACATTAGATTAGAAAATCAGAGTTTGAGACAATAACTCAGTATCTTTAAAATATTACAATAATTGTTTAATCAAACTCTGTTGAATTTTGAAATGTTCAACCTTGTTTTGTTTAAAAATGGAAATCAAGGAATGTAACTCTCCTCTTAGTGTAATGGTCCAATCCGTTTATCTTTGCAACTTGATTTTGAAAGCCTTTGATATGTTGAAATCTGTTATATCAAATATTCAAAATTGGAATTATTTCAGATTTGCACCATACCATGTATAAAATTGATAGTTTAGAACTTAGCAATTTTACCGTGGAAGCCTCAAACAGTAGAATGATCTCCCATCGTACATGTTATAAAATCTGAAATGAAATATAAGTTTAAGGTTACTATTTCGTATGCCGGATCAAATGGAAGCGAAGGCTTAAAGGCCTTACAGGCCCCGATGATGACTTGGTGCCGCGCTCCGTTCGTCTACCGCTCCTTCGCGAGCTCTCGATTCATTTTGCGCGCATGCACTCGTACCAGCCTCGTACCATGCTCGTACCATTCTAAAAGTTTATAATTTTAAAGGGACTATTCCTGACAATTTGGATGAATCATCCAAATTGCTGTACTCGAAGGAATTAGGATGGTTTAGCCAGCCTCAGAACCACCAGTGGCCGAATTCAAAGAACTTTGAGAAATTTGAGACGTGGCTCAAATTTGGTTGGTTGCACTTAAAATTGTATTCAATGTTTCAAGATTTAATCCGACGCTCAATTGAAACCGGTTTTTGGCGGATTTGAGACGCAGCTCAAATTAATTAAATTCGGACTCAGGTTGCAAAGATTTAAGATTAAGTCACCTTATCAATTCATATGTTGTGTTTTATAACATTTTCATCTTTTTATAGCATTTTTTATTTTAGTTTAAATCTATAATTAGATTGAAGTGATAAAAGAATTTGTAATAAAAATGAAAAGTTTATTACACTCTTTTTAAATTTACTTTTACAGCGGACGATCCCTTTCTTTATAAAAAGAAATTACACTTTTATATTTGATTTATTGATGTATACTGTATACTGTATAGCTCGGGGACTATGCACCAAAGAAGACTGATATTCTCTTCTCCTTCTTACCCCTGGCTCATACTCTAGAGAAGTGTTGTGAACTAGCAGTATTCCTCGCAGGTTATAAGCATATTATTATTAGAAGTAGTAGTATTAGTAATAGTAGTAGTAATATTAATATTATCATTATTAATATTAGTATTTTGCTTACAATGCATTGGGCAAAAACAAATAAGTTTGTAATCCTAATGCCACATTTAATGAAGGAAGTAGTTGAACCGCGCAGATGCCGTTGACCCACTTCATAAGAAAGGTGGTCCGTTCATGTCTCCACTGTTCAACCATTTCTCAGAAACCATATAATTCCATCCAATACGTTTGTTGTTATTGTAAACAATTGGTAGTATGATATCAAGTTGTAGAAAAATTTTCATACTGCAGAATGTATGCTTCAAGGGAGTGTTTATTTTTCTGTTTATCTTAATTTATCTCCCATATTGATTGCTTGTTTTTACTTCTTTTAACACCCCAAATGCAGTACACATTTTTGAAGTGTAGTACACGTACACAAAAAATTACCAAAGTTGACAATGATACAGCGAGTATATTTTTATACCACTATAAATGTACTTGCTATTTTTCCCTACTAATTAAATATTGATTTATACCAAAACTAAAATGCTTTATGATTCTAAATGATGTGGAATTGATGTTAAAATCAAAAGAGACTTTAACCACGGAAATTCAAATGTTCTGGTTTAATCATCAGTGAGACTTCACTTCCGAACACATTCACTCTTTAAATGTAATGTGTTTTTATCATAAAAATTAATTGCACTATAATGCTCAAAGTTCTTTGCTTATTTCTTTTTTTATTTACATTTTTTGATAAACTTTTGTTCTGTCAAAACCTCTGCATCACCTGAGAATACTATACAAAATAGTCCAACTGGGATAAGGTTTATGTAAATTATCCTTTCTTAGAAGGTTTTTATTAAAAGATTTTATCTTGGTTGAGCTTTAAAAAGTACAGAAAGGACAAAGTAACTCAATACTTTTATCTATATAACACTATTTTGCAAACACCATTTTTAGCAAGAAAATCATGGATTTCTTAGACGTCTCTAAACAGACACAGGTTTGAAAGGTATAGCTGTGAACTGGACGTGTCACTCTACAGTCCCATTAAGAGATATATTGAAAAAACAAACCAAATAATTGGATTGTTTATGAATCGAAAATTGAATTTATTTCTACTTTATTATGTTATAATTTAATAAATATTTCACATAGTATAAAACAGCAGATTAGATTATTAACAATTTTAAACTTAAAAGTTTCAAAATCTTAAAAAGTTTCAAAAACTTTAAAAGTTTCAAAATCTTTAAAAGTTTCTAAATCTTCAAAAGTAATTCAAAATCTTTGAAAGTTTCAAAATCTTTGAAAGTTTCAAAATCTTTGAAAGTTTCAAAATCTTTGAAAGTTTCAAAATCTTTAAAAGTTTCAAAATCTTTAAAAGTTTCTAAATCTTTAAAAGTTTTAAAATCTTTGAAAGTTTCAAAAAATGAACAAAGAAGTTGCCCATCAACAAGTATAGTACTATCGTTCAAGATAAGATATGGAATATTGAAAAGTAGGCTTTCAGAGCGCTTTGTGACCCATTTCTACTTTTTATCTTAGCGTTTAAATTTTGCTCTTCAAGTCACCATTTTTCGTTGTATTGTAATCGTTAAACTTAAAAGGAATTGAGTCTTGCCACAAACTCTGATTTTCTAATCCTCATATCTTTGAAATCCACTGTCTTAGACCCTGGATATTTCAAGTAATAAACTCTATTACATAAAATAATATAAGTTTGAAATATCACAGGTTTACACCGTCAGGTTGCAAAGAAATTGTATGGAGTTTGTGGAAAAGACTCATTCGTTTGCGAGATTTTCTGTTAAAACTGGTAAATTTTATAATTGTTTCACCTTCGACCATACAAACCATCCCTGGGGTCATGACTCACATGAGTTACCACAAACAAATTGGACCCTAGTAGTTCAACCGTTTTCCGTTTATTAGACAAAAACAAACAAACCAAGAGACGAACAAGCAAAAAATGGATGTAGATATATATATATATGTATGAATATGTATATATATGTTAGGATGAATGTCTAAGATCTTATCTTATCTGAGAGTAAAGAGATGCTGACACCGTAGAGTCATGGTTTTACTTTATGGAGAGATGAACTATATTTAAATGTGAACGGAAAGCAGTGTCAGCAATCCTCAAAACTTCTTTGACAGCACTCTTAATCAAAACCAGACAAAAGCTTAATCTTTTCTTTCTTTTTCAACTTTTATGTTTAAAGTTTCCATTTTGATGTGCTATGCAGTATTAATTACTTCAGCATAACCAATATAATATAGTTATCAATTTCGGTAATTGCGAAATCATAGGAAACAAAAAAAAACATTAATAAACAAAATTATTTTAAATTCATCTTATTTACAGTACGCTGTAACACTACCAATGCAAATTATGACTTGTGATGACATAACACTGCAAAGTAGACTGTAGGAGTAGGTTAAATCAATTCGACATTACTGGTGCGACTTTGGGACCTCGAAGCTCCTCTTTTAATTAACGATTACTTATGATAAGCACAAATTTATCTAGTTACGTATTAAAGTTCTAGTATAATATATTCAAGACATGCTTGTTCTTCACAGTAGCTTCATTAGCTCTTAAATTAGGGGAGTTCTGAGTGAAAAATATATAAATGATTAATTTTATTTATTTCATAATTAAGGTGGCGCTGTTGGTTTTTATTCCGGAGATTTAAGACTTGTAAACCAGGTAAAATATGAATGAAGAGACTGATTACTCGGGTACAGTTAGGATTTACAACGAAATTTTAAAATAGTTTCCCGAAAATTTAGTTCTTTTTGCGAACATTTTTTGCGTGAATCTGTCTCGCGAAAAAAAAACCAAAAATGCAAGATTTCGCGAAATTGTCGCAAATTTTTTTTACAAAATTCTACATCGCTTTCGCTTCCTTTCGCAAAATACATTTTCGCGAAAGTTTGAGAAAAGTTTTCTTAATACTAACGTAAAAAATACCAAAATACAAAAGAAAACTTTTCGCGAAAATTTTCGTTCGCTGTAAACCCTAGCTACAGTTAGTGATGGAAAATAACTCACATGGATAATTCTTACCTTTACAAAGATTACATTCACTCGTACTGACTAGTCTAGACTACCCAGTGTAAAGTTGACCCAGCACGTTTTATGCAATTTGGTTTAATTTGCTTTAGAATACGTATATGGATCAAATATAGTTGTATCTCTATAATACCATAACTTCGTATTTCACCAAATCTGCAGTGATAACCAAAAATTCTGGGATAGGAAGACGACTTTTAGACTAAAGTTATGACTTTAGATAGTCCATTCTGCATGGGATACAGTAATTGTGCAGTGTAAACAGTTCCATTTCACTTAATTTATGATTTAGTGTAAATCTATTTACTCTGTAATAACATCCTAATACACTCAAGTATTGTTATAAAATCGTCTTCCTATTTCAGATTTTCTGGTTATCACTGTATATTTTCTGTAAATGATATGCAGAAAGTACATATTTATATTTACCCAACAAATAAATTTTTTCATGGGTTCCCTGTCTATTTTCCTCTTCCATGCTAAGTTTAAAAACGTGCATATTACATAATTGCAATATACTTTAAATCACTGTGATCTTGCCAGGCTACATTTGTAACATAAAATGTACTGGGTCGACTTTACACTGGTGTAGTCCAGACTAGACGGTACGACTAAATGCATATGCAGTTTATGTTGTACCGGCTCGGATCATACAGATTTTAGAGTGGGGTGAACTGAAAATATGTTTTGTTTATAAAAATAAATGATGAGGTTTTGTGAATTATTAAATTATTCTCTGATTATTATTAATCCAGGACATGAAAGCTTTGAAACCAACAATTTTGCCTGCAGTGCCCAGGTTTATTAACCGGATATATGACAGGTAAATTAGGTTAGTTCCAGGGGGAAATATTCCAGATAGATATCCCCCCCCCCGCCACTACAACTCTGGTATAGTCTAGGCCAAGATAGGTTCGGTTTCTTCAAATTAAATGAAGTCTTGAAACTTACAGAGTTGTATAAATATTCTTTTTATTTGATGCAATGCAAGAGAAATTTTTTTTTTATAAAAACGTCATCATTTTACCATCCACTTAAAGGGAGTGTTCGCGAAAAATGAAAGGGGGTAAAGGCTTACGGCGAAATATAAATGCTTATAATTGCTACAAATCTTACTTCTATCTGTTGTGTCTATAATGGAAAATTCTTAAAAACGACTCATGCTAAAGCACGTACCGTCCATTCAAATTCAGAAAGTTGCAACCATCAACTCGGATCGTAAAAAAATAAATTTAATTCGAAACAAATCATTCAAATATTACAACCAACAGTAATCGTTAAGTTGATATTACATAATATTTTTTTTTCTATGATGTGATAGTTACTTTTGAAAATATTTATTCCTGTTTGGAATTAGGACGTTTATTTTACGATCCGAGTTAAATGTTGCAACTTTTCGAAGTTGTATGGACGCTACGTTCTTTGGTACAAGTTGTCTTCTAATAGACGCAACATATAGAAGTAAGAATAGTAGCGATCAAAAGCACTTATTTTTCGCCGTATGCCGATACCCTCTTTCATTTTTCGCGAACATCACTCCCTTTAAAACTAGCAAGACAACACTTTTCATGGGATGACAAACAAGCCAAGATTTTTCTTTTTTTTACATATTAATCTTTCTATATTTTTGACTAACCAAATTTCTTTTTTCTTTAAATTGTTATAGATACAGGGTTTACAGGAATTTTAAGGTTATCAACTTTATGAAACTTTACCGACGACCTTTTTAAAATAACGATATGAATATTGAATTTCTGCCAAATTTCTTTTTTTTAATTATCATCATAAATGTAAGGGAAAAGGATGAATACATTTCGTAAGGTCATCTTTGAAGTCGCACACTTTTTGGGTAACCCTGTATCATTCATAAAGATTTATAAAATATTAGAAGTAATTAAATGTTCGTAAATAAAGAAGAAAAATCTTCTTTTATTACTTTGTCAAATTTATAATTATTAATTATTTTTTCACCAACCCTCATCCTATAAAAGCTGGCAACAGAATTATCTTAAAAATTTTTTTTTATGTTTAGTTTAGTAGAGTTATAGTTGTGCCAAACTGAATCAGCTATTTAAAAATATTGTTATTTATTAAATTCCAAAATTTTATTTTGCATAGGGTGGTGACAGGAGCGAATAGATCTGCTATATCCAGGTTAAATAAAGCAATAACTTAAATATCAACTTATAAAGTGAAATTGGGCTGTTATTACTGAACAATTACTGAGATTAATCTTCATTGGACAGAACTTGAGTCTGGCATTCGTCTTCGTATTCCAGAGGTTTATGTCCCACCATGAACACTGCACGAGAATATGTGTAAAACAATTCATACCATTTTATTTTTATCTAGTTTCAACATTTGGGTTTTATCTGAAACAATAATATATCAAACTAGTGTTTGTTTCTTCTTGTCAAGATTTCAATTTATTTTCTCGGATAGAGATAAGAAGTTTAAAATAAATAGTTTTATATCTTAATTAGGGTTTCCAGCGAACGAAAACTTTCGCGAAAAAATGTGATATTTTTGTATTTCTTAAACTTTTTCGCAAATTTCGCAAGAATCCGTTTCGCTAAATATTTTTTCGCGAAACAGTTGAACGCGAAATTTCGTGAAATACCAATTTTATTTTACGAACTGAATGTGAACGATTTCCTTATTTCGCTGAAAACCCTAATCAATCCTTTGAAATTAATTAAAACTTTTTTCAAAAGATTTCAGGCATATATCTTCTACATATTTCAGGCATATCTTCAACATGGCGCTTGCTTTCAAAACAGACGAGATGTACAAGGGAGTAATAAGGTTAAAAACATTTTAAAACCTTTTAAATCTTTATTTTTCTCTTAAAACTAATTTCTACAGATTGGGGAAATTTCAAAATAACGACAGTATATGGCTGAAATTTATTGGGGGCGGGGGGGGGGGGGGGAATCTTCTTTAAACAAAAAAAAATAATTTCAATATATATAATTTAAACAGCAATAACAGGAAAATTATTAATTTTATATGATAGTTTTTTTTAAATTCTAATTTTATCAGGGATAATTTGATTTAGGAATAATTATATCTTGATCAAGCTGGTTTAGGAATAATTATATCTGGGATAATTTGATTTAGGAATAATTAAATCTTGATCAAGTTGGTTTAGGAATAATTATATCTTGATCAAGCTGGTTTACGAATAATTATATCTGAGATAATTTGATTTGGGAAAAGTTTTATCTTGATCAAGCTAGTTTAGGAAGTATTATATCTGAGATAATTTGATTAAATAATAGTTCTATCTGGGATAAGCTGGTTTAGAAATAAATATATCTGGGATAATTTTATTTAGAAATAATTCTATCTGGGATAATTTTATTTTGGATCAATTCTATCTGATAATTTGATTAAGTAATAATTCTGTCTGGGATAATTTGATATGGAATAATTCTATCATGGGTATAGTTTGAATAAGGAATAATTCTATTCAGAATTATTTGATTAAGTAATAATTATATCTGTGATAATTTGATCTAGGAATAATTCTGTCTGGGATAAGCTGGTTTTCTGGTCAGTACGGAAGAAACTGGGAGGAAGGATCCGTCTTGTTATTGTTGGATCTGCACCTTTAGGTAAATACAAAACTTGGATTTTTATCCTTTAAGATTTTTGTTTTCAATGATGGATTTCAATTAACATATAAACTCAACATTTTTTGGAGGCAAATTCTTTCATTCAAATTTTTCACTTTTTCTGGGTTCATAACTGTGAAGTTATTTTTGACATATTTTGCAGTTAATGTACAGAACAAATTGCACAGAAAATTATTTTTAATATTATTAATTCTTTCTAAAAATGATTCTACAGATAGATAAGAATTCATTATAATTTCATTAAAAATATGGAACGAGTTAAAAAAAACATTGAGAGTTTTAAACTTCTATAATTAAAGTAAATCCTGGTGAAGTAGGTTTCTAGTTTGTATTCTAGACGGTATACTGTCCAGGTTAAACATTATAGTATTTTCATTTCAGGCTTTTCTTCAACATAATTCTCAAGAAGAAAAATGCTTTTCTTTTTCTCGATTTTTTCATTGACAAAACCTGTTAAGGTCCAATTAAGTTGCAAAAGGCTGGGTTCAGTTTTCGTTAAAAATATGTGTACCACGTAATGATGGTTGTTGAGATTGATGTAGAAAATATGGATAGATAAATAAATTCTCATTTTGGTTAATTAATATTATTAAACAGGAAATGAGGTTATCAGATAGAAAAAAAGGGTTATGTACAAATAGATTTTCAAGTACAATAGGTGGCAACAGAGAAATGGACCAATTATACATGACGTCACAAGTGTCAAAATTTTCTCACATTGGCTGACATGTTTCCCAAGATTAAATAAAAAAGTGTAAAACAGAAAATAAAGAACACATACAATTCACTTATTTTGCTGTAAGATAAGTTCTTTATTCTAAAATTATCACTATTATAAATAATTTTTGTCGGACACAAAACTGAATTGACACTTGTGACGTCAAAATATATTTGTTCTGAGAGTGTACAAATTCTTTGTTGCCATCTTTTGTACTACAATCTATTTTTGGTTATGTAGAGCTTGCCACCGTGCAAAAGGAACAATCGATTTTTGTTTCAGTGCATCCTTTTTATGTATGATGTATGAACTTCTTAAAATATTTGATTATATCTTTTTTATGTCATTGTAAATTGTAATGTGTATTACAAAGTGTGAATAAAGTTTTGCCGGGATTTTTATTTTTTCTATTCTGATCGAAAGCAAACTAGAAATAGTAAAAATCTCATCAACAACTTTCTCACACGAATGATAGCCATTTATACAATAACATATAGTTAAATTAGATTTCATTTTTCTTATCTATAGATCGACAAAGTTACTTTACCACCCTACAGTAGTAAATATTAGATATTAAATTTGAAATCTTATCAGCAGGGTGATAAAGTTCCTTTTACGCCCTGTTGTCAAGTGATGAAGTCACTTTACCCCCCTCAACGGGAAATATTAGGTGTGGTAAATACCCTCAAAATTGAATAAATGAATTAATAATTAATATTTATTTCAGCTGGTAATGTTCTCACGTTTATGAGAGCTGCACTGGGTTGTTTGATTGTAGAAGGGTAATTATATTTTATTTTCATAGTTAATAGTTTTACTGCAGGTTTATCCATTTATCCAAACAAAGGATAAAACTTGAATCAAACTTTTACATTATTTAATCTGTAAAACATATCCGCTGAAGTATAAGATGTTGTCTGGATTAGAAAAATCAAAAAATAACTATATTGAATATATTACTCTGGCCTAAAAAAAATCTGCCAAATATCTCAACGAAAGACAATCACCTGTTCCAATGGGATCAAATAATAAATTATAATCACATAATATGAAATTCTGGTTCCTAAAATGATTACGTTACAGAGATGTTAATAAATAGTTTGTAAAGGTACTTCAAGAATAAATCTTTTAGAAATAGTAAACACTAAATACAGTGATAACCAGAACACTCTGAAATATGGAGTCGGCTTTAAGACTCAAGTTATTACTTAATTTGTTTAATGGACATGAGACAGATCAATTGTGCAGTGTAAACAGACACATTTCACTTAATAAGTGATTTAATAACTTACTAGTAAAGTTATTTGCTTTGTAACGACATCAAATACACTTCTTCAGTATTGCTTTAATGGAGTCTTCATATTCTTCAGTTTTCTGGTTATCACTGTATATAAACTGAAAATCTCTAGGGCCGTCTGTCAAGTCTCATTCTTTGTGAATTGTGAGTATTCATCTTAGTATTCATGATTTAGCTTTTTTTTAGGTATACTTTTATGGCTGTTTCGTCATGGCGTTTCCTGCGCAAATACTGTATTTTCATTTTTAGATTTAAAATTGGAGACTTTTACATAGCAAATTTAATTTGTTTCTTTATACAGTTTTAAATCTTTCTTGATTTTAATTAATTGAGAGATTCTATGTCTTCGAGTTTTGAACTTCGATTTTATTCTATTAATTTTGAACATGTATAAAGGCGGTCCAAAAAAACGGGCATTGAGATACCACTGGTAGCAGAATAGTTTGACTTTAAAATTTTTGGTATTTTAAAAAATATTTTTAAAAAATTCAGATCGATGGACAGCAATGAGAGGACTATGACACTTAAACTAAAAAAAAATTACGAACATTTTTTTAAGTAAAAAAACCGAAAAGTTTCACCGAAATAAGGTCAAACGACCTATAGTGTCAAACGACCCAGGGTCAAACGGCCTATTGTCAAACGACCTATGGTGTCAAACGACCCAGGGTCAACCGACCTATCGTCAAACGACCAAGGGTCAAACGACAAACAATCAAAAGCACAACAAAGGGAAAAACGACAAAGGGTCAAAATGACAAATTAAATATATGTTTTTAAATATGTTAAATAATATGCTATCTCTTACCTTACTTTTGAATACGATGGGTTATACAATTTCTGGGCCGAGCACTGCGGCTTTGATTGGCTAGGAGGCCGAGCACTGCGGCTTTGATTGGCTAGGAGGCCTAGCGCTGCAGCATCGTAAAAGTTAAATAATATGCTGTATATCATCCTATTTTGGGGTAGGCTAGGACAATTTATGGACCCGAGCGCTGCAGCTAGGATATGCTATAGGGGGCCAGGGCCGAGCACTGTACAATGTTTGACCCTATGTCATTTTACTCTTGGTCGCGTTTTTTACCCTATATCGTTTGACCTTATGTCTGTGAATCCATAAAAAGTCCCGGAGTGTCTCAACGAGCGTTTTTCAACCTATAGGTATGGACAAACTGAGTGTGTAGCACCCTGTACATTAACAGCTCCTGGGGATCCTCAACCTGATCAGGTGTTTTTTTTAATCTTTTTTCATACTGACAGGATCACTTGCCTTAAACTCTAATGTTATAATCCCCACATCTTTGAAACCCAATAATGCACATTTTGATATGTTTTAACATGATCATCTCATCAAGCAGTATTCAAATCCTTGAATATGAAATGTCTACGACATCAGGTTGCGTAGATATAAGGATTGGGAAAAATAGTGTCCAAGGAACTAGTAAATTGCCGTTCATTTACTTTTATTTTTTAAATTGATATGTTTTTTAAATTGATTTTTAAATATTTTTTCTACTGGAGAACCAGAAAACGGATTCCCGATGGTCGTCTTCATTCTTCCCTAACCTTAAAAATGTTGCCAAGGATCTAATATCTTCCAATTGTTGCAACCGATATATCTCTAAAATATGATATTTTGGAAATAGTTCACTTAAAAATTAATATTCTTAGCAACAATAAGAAAAAAGAAAAAGGATTATAATTTCACTATGTTTTGGTTCTCACTGCATTTCAAAGTCGAACTTTTGAAAATCGAGTTATTTTATAAATTCTCATTTCCTTATATCCGGAGGTTTTTTTTTGTATCCGTCCTGAATCATTTTCAATATCCGTTCTACCAACTATACATGCGTTATTTATTTCGAACACTTTCTCATGATTGATTTATCAGGAAACAAAATTCAACAAATTATCTTCTGTATCACCTTATTAAAGTTTATAGGTTGTTGAATTGTAAACAAAAACGCGATTGAATTGAAAATGAAATAACCAAACGATTCAATTTTATGAAAAAACGAAATTTCTCGTTCAGAAAAAACGACAGTTTTGAAAACAATGTAAGATTTTAAATCATTTAAATGAACTTGAAAAAAACGGTCGTTTTATTAACGGACCAAAGATATTTAACAAACTTTTGAAATGGGGATAGTTTCATACTGAAGCAACGATTATTCTGAACGAACGAGTATGCTAAACAAAAAATTTTACCGAACGATTGTTTTTGAGAAAACGAACGAAATAAATGAAAAATGAACAATATCTTTGAAAATGTAAGAAGTAATTTTTTTAATGATTGAAAAAAAAACGAAATGGGTCATTCCCGAACCATAAACGAAAGAAATGAAGAAAAAAACCAAATGCGCCAATCTGTAGGTCAGGGTGCCCTGGTTACATAATTAGTTCTAATTTCAATTTTTCCTTAAACGACAAAAGTTAGACGAAATTTCTTTCTAACTATTTCATATTTGATTTTGAAGAATATGTTAAACCATTAATTCTCATGTTTTATAAAGGTTGGACCTCCTTTACCCTGCAACAATATAAAACTAGTTGATGTCCCAGATATGGAATATTTTTCAGCTCATGGCCAGGTAATGGAATAATATAAAACTTGTTGATGTCCCAGATATGGAATATTTTCCAACTCACGGCCAGGTAATGGAATAATATAAAACTAGTTGATGTCCCAGATATGGAATATTGTCCAGCTCATGGCCAGGTAATGGAACAATATTAAACTAGTTGATGTCCCCGTAATGGAATATTTGGTGTTAGGTTATTTCCCCAACGCAACTTCCCCAGTCACAATTTCCCCGAGACAATTTCCCAACAGAAATTTCCCCAAGAGCCCATTTCCCCAACAACAATTTCCCCATGTAGTAAAAGCAGCAATTTTCCCAACAATTTATAATGGTTTTAACTATTTTATCCTGTGTTTTGCTTAAAGAAGAACACCTTATGAATTGGTACAGTAGGCATACAACAATTCATGCAAATCTTCACAAACCCTCAAGCAAATTAAAACCACTTGTTATGTTCCCTACTAAATAAGGTCAATTTTAAGAAGGAAGAACTCATAGGTTGAAATATAGATTAATAACAATACAGATGCCGAGTTGAATGACAAGACAGAGAGAGAGCACGCCTCAGTGTTATTGTCAACGAAAACTTCCTAAATTTTGAAAAGACAGTTTCAAGAATTCTATCTGTATTGTTACTAATCTTTGATTTGGAAAAAATGGTAGTACTTCGTTACAAAGATATAGAGATTTATCTGAAGAGGATACATATTGTGGTTTAAAATGAAAAAACAGTCCGGCCCCAACTTTAATACTGATGTTTTAGGGCGAGGTGTGTGTGCTCGGCTCGAATGTATTCCAAGGGTATTACAGGTAATTAATTTTAAAACTAGGTCGTCAACATTCTCATTCAAAGAGTAAGATGTTAAAAAGAAAAAAAATCATTATGAAAGAATAGATTATTAATCCCTTTCATCAAGATAATAAAATCTTTGTTATTGTTTATTTCCTTTCTAGCTTACTCTTTTTTTTTGATCAAAACAGCCACACTAATCTATCCAAGCTATCCTAAGAATTTACATGTTCATATAACCACCCCCCCCCTCCCCGCCCCTTTTCTTATGTATACATATCTTGCTTAATCCTATTATGGGTTTGTTGCCGACAGAAAAAGAACATACAGACTAAGTAGGGTTACCCACAAAGGATGAGATTGTAAAGACGACTTGGAACTTTTCAAATATGTCGAACCCCAGCTATTGTCAAGTATTATGCCTCGAATGTGATCTTTAAATGACTTATTCAATGATTTGGCAAAGATAAAAAGAAGTTTAAGGTTGCAGGGAATAATTTATTATAAGGAAATAGTAGGTAAAAATGTTGTACATTTGTCTCTGAAGTCTCATCCTTTGTGGGTAACCCTGTATATTTAAATATCTCCTTTAACAAAATAAACTTTGAAAATATTTTTGTCTTAAAAAAGGGACCCTGAGAGAACCTGTTTGGTGATAGATCAAGATGGGTGGCTACATACAGGTTAAATTAAAGCACTAAAATTATGAATTTATTGACAAAGGAATTGAGTCTTTGTAACAAACTCTGATTTTCTACTACTAATATTTTTTCCACCTGATGGTGTAAACCTTTAACATTTCAAACTTAGATTTTTTTCATCTAATAGAATTCATAGTTTGAAATATGTAAGGTCATTAACATTGGATTAAAAAGATATAGAGATTAGAAAATCATAGTTTGTGACAAAGACTCAATTCCTTTATTTCATTTTTATCGACACAGAGAAACGCATAAACCTCGGAAAGAGAAAGTCGACATTTAAGCAATCTCGTGTTTTAATGTCGTTTATCAAACAACTGAAAATCAACTTATTAAGTGACGTGGGTTTGAGTACACTGCACAATTGCTGTTTTTCGTGTTCATGGACCTATTCAAAATCATAACTTTAGTCTAACAGTCGTTTTCCTATTCCACCGTTTTTAAGGGTTTCCAACAGAAGCGGATTTTGTTTGCGCGCAATTGGAAGCCTTTAATTTCCGTACAATGCAATTCCAAGCAGTTCCGCGCAACGGAATTTCGATTGGTATGGTAACCCTAGTCCCTCTAAATTTTTATATTATATATCTATACCAACCAGTTATGTTCCTACACTGAGTGTAAATTGCAAGATAAAAACTGTTGGAGTAGAAATGTACAAAGTTGTAGAGTTTCTTCTGAGTCGGAATTTTAAAAGAATATCATTGAATAAAACCCCCGATTCTACAGATTTGTGTAGATATCAATTCAGAGACTGCAGAGGCCGAATTTAAAGAATTTGAGCGGCGGCTGAAATTTTAATGTTTCAAGATTTAAGTCGGCGCTTAATTTAAACCGGGTTTAGGCGGATTTAAGCCGCGGCTCAAATTCTTTAAATTCTGCCTCTGAAACCATAATATTTTTAAAAATCAACAATATTGAATAATACTTCCAACAATACAATTTTTATATAAACATCCTAAAATATCTTACCCCATTCACATAACCCAAGTTCTGATTCTGGGTTTTATGACGATACTCTGTCTTAAGTTTTGGGCTCTGGGTTTCGATGAGTTCAGTGTGCACTATTTACTTTATTTACAACCAATCATAATGCGTGAATTATGTGTGAAGGAAGTCGAAAATGTCCTTGTTTTATAAAAGTCTTCTCAACTGAATTTTTGTATTTTTATCATCATTTTTTAAAATTTCATGGGGTTTTCTCAAAATTTGAGCTATGTATTGTATTAATTTTCTCCTTTTTCATAATCTGTAAATGGCAAATCAATAATTAGCCAAAAATATCGAAAACATATTGTAATTTGTAAGACAGGGTTATTCTTTTAATTCTGATCAGCGTAACTGAAAGTTTTTTGCGAAAATTTCTATTATTTTAATTTCTTTATTGTCAAGTTTTTACTTTCAAACGTTGGAATTCAAAGATATTGAGTTTTTGCCACCAACTGTGATTTTTTTAATCCCTATATGTTTGCATCCCAATGTTGTAGACCTTTAATATTTGAAACTTAAAATAAAGTTAAATAAAATAGTTTGAAAATTTAACGTTTATGCCCAGGTTGCAAAGATATAGGGATTATAAATTAGAATTTGTGGCAAACACTCAATTCCTTTAATTCCTTTACAAGCGAATTTTAACTAAATTTGTTTACTGGCAAGCGTTTGATTTTTCCTCTGTGGTTTGGGTAGGTTTGGTTATCTAACTCAAAATGTTTTCCTAAAACTCTTTTACTTATCCCCCCCCCACCCCTTGGGAATCTGGCCTAATGTTTAAAGAGAATTAGTATATTTGAAAATGTGAAAGAATGGAAATTTTATTAAAAGCCTGGCTTCATTTGTCAGTGTTAGTGTACTGAGCTGTCTCCATTTGAAAACCAGTCCCTCCGTTTTCCCCCTCCATCTTCCACCCAAACGAGCCCCCCCTCCTCTTCTGACAACCCCCCACCCCACTCCACGAAATTATATTACCCTTGTTTCCTTCTTTTAACGACTATGTCTTTGTTTATTTTGAAAGAAAAGAACTAAACAGATATTATAAGAGTAAAACGAAAGAAGTCCTTGCAGCAAACTCAAATATTCTAATCCTAATATCTGTGCAACCATATGGTGTCAACCTTTAACATTTCAAAATTATATTATTTAATCCATCAGAATTCATAGTGTGAAATATCTAAGGTCGCAAAAATATAGGGCGCGGCAAAGACTAAATCCCTTTGCGTGATAAGAATAAAGATATGTTCTTTTTAGCAAAAGTCATTAAAGCAGTATATACTTACTATATATTTTTCGCTATAAATCTATATAATAAAGCAAAAAGTTTTTTGCTCATCTGCATATATTTGTATATATTTATATGATATATGGCTATAGCTGGCCATACGGCTAAACCAAATTGGCTGACATTATTTTTACGGAACCCAGGAGTATCCTGGAGGTAACAAAGGCAACAAAATTCTAATTTTTTTCTACAAATTTGAAGTTTTCTTTTAAGTGTTTCTAAATTCTACGGGCAACGTCAGGCATGTAGTAAATGCCCTACTCCATACGGGTTTCTCAAACCCATATCAGTCCAGGTATAACTCAATATCACTTTATACGATCTATGTCAAACCGGACACAATCTATCTTTACTGCAGGAACTATCAATGTATCAACTCGGACACAATCTCATAAACTAGCAATGCCTCAACTGGGACACGACCTTTTAAACTAGCAATGCATCAACTCAGACAGGATCTCATAAACTATCAATGTCTCAACTCGGAAACGAACTCAGGGGTTTCTCGTTCTCTAAACGAGAAACAATTACTCTCATAATCGTTCAAGTCGAGTAGCTGTTTCAACTGACGTGTATTTAGATATCTATGTCAGAGTTTAAGTTAATGTACGTTTTTACAAGATTAGTGCGGATTTATATAAGCGTCGTAGTTAAGCCAATCACTGACTTAGTTATAAGTCAGTATAACAGCCGTATTAACAGCCATAGCTAGGCTAGGTTAATCGCGTTACAAGTATTATGGTTAATGATAAGCGTATTTAGATTTACAGACATTGTACAACGTAATGTTGAAGTATGTTCAGGTTAACAAATATGGGGATTTCTACGATATTTATTACAGGCACTCCAGCTAGTATAACCAATAAATGTAGGCATTGACAACTCTCAAAGAAAGTTTCCATTTCAATATATTGCATATTTAAACTGTATATAATCTGATCATCATCCAATTTTCCCCCTCACCTCTCTCCTCTCTACTCAATCTGAGAGCATATATCCAACTTCATTTGATCCCCCCCCCCCTGCTATCCGAGCCATCCGAGCTTTTAAACTTAGTTTTGGGTCTGTCTTAGTTTCATTTACTCTACCCGCCTCAGGTCTCAGCATTATTATTGCGCAAAAATTGTCAAATTAGTAAAATTTTGCAAATAAAAAATGAGCAAGTGCTTGGTAAACTTTGAAATATTTGGGAAAAACTGAGTGGGGCGCGGGGGGGGGGGTTTGAAGGAATTATTTCCTATTTGTATACAAGTATGTAAAATAATAATAATATTTGAGAAAGATTAAACATCGCACGAGACCGTTCATTAGAAATGCAAAACAATTACTGGGAAACACGAGTATATGAGTACACAGCCCTAGCCACAACCTCAACCCATTTAAAGACACCCTAGGGACTGATAAAGGAACCTAATGTTCAATTTAATCATGAAATTTAATTTAGTTTCACATTTCGGAGAATTAAATTTTTACATTTCTATGCATTTAATTTTGAAATATATCCGGCTGGGAAAAGTTCCAACAAAGAATCAAGAAGAGTGAGAATTGAGAAATGAGTTCAAAAGAACTAATTTTTCAGATTTTTTAACAATTGGGCTTATTGAAAGAGAGTATTCGCGAAATAATATAAGAACATAGGGTCAAATTTTATATTATAAATATTTAAGTGTATTTGATGTTGATACAGAGTAAATAGCTACTAGTAAGTTACTAAATCACTTACTAAGTAAACTGGATCTGTTTACACTGCACAACAATTACTATTCTCTTGCTAGTTGTAAACTATGAGATAAGCAAAAGAATGGACATATTTCAGGAGATATAGGAGAGTGGCTACCAAATGGAACTCTAAAGTTAATTGATAGAAAGAAGCATATTTTCAAGGTGATAAGTTTTTCCGTATAAAGATAGTTAAAATCATAGATTGATTAAAATAACAGGTATGACACTAGATGTCGTCTTTTCAAGATTTCTGTGTGTTTCGTTTACAATACCCCTAAAGCAGAAGCCCAAATGAGTTAGGCTTAGTCAGCGTAGAACAAGACAGAGAGAGAGTCTATTCTACGCCAACTACGTGTAACTCCTTTGGGCTTCTGTGAACAAAACACACTGAAATCTTGAAAAGACGACATATAGTGTCCTATCTGTTATTTTAATTAATCTATGGTTGAAATAAATATTTTGATTAAATGTTCCTCATAAACATTCTTTGTATGATGTATGTACAGGGTGTCCCAATAAACATGGGGATTCAGAAACGACAGAATTTCGTCTTTGATTTGCCATAATTGATAAATGATATGAAGTGCATAAAAAAAGTATAATTAGTTAATTCCAAAATTTGATATGCCTATTTTTGTATCTTTAAAATTGACGGATATATAAAACATTTGCACAGTTTTATTAATTTTTAACAAACTGGACTCTAGACAAATGGTAGACCACATTTTGGAAATCCCAAGACTACTGCTTTTCGGTGTTAAATGTTTAAATTGGGATATCCCAAAATTATGTTTACGAAATAATCCCGCATGGAACAAAGACGATTTAGAAGTTGTCATTTAACTCCCATGTTTATTGACTATTTATGAGACTAACAATATTCTCAAATGAGGATTTCGTACTTCTTACTCTGAACTCAAAACGAAACATATGTTTTCATACTCTTATGATAAAAAAAGATAATGATGTTTGATAAAGCAAAATATCAAGTTAGAAATAATAATTTTCATTTCATGGTATAAAACAAAACTGAAAATTTAGAACAAAAATACAAATATTCAAGTAAATAAAGTTTGAGGCAAATCTGTCAAGGGGTTCCTGAGTTATGATCGGACATAAAAAACAGAGATCACTACTCTATACGAATGTATAATCTTTTGTTTATAGGTGGCACAAGGTGAATATGTTGCTCCTGAAAAGTTGGAGGAGATTTATGCTAAAAGTATGTTCGTGTCCCAGGTAGGTAGTTTATCAGAGCTGGAAACTTTTATGTTGGATAGTTTGATCCAGATGTCCACAGCGGGCACTTTTAATTTGAGGATATATTCTTAATTGCTTCAATACAGTTATCCCTTCAGGGTACAATTACACTGTGGATATCGAATAAAGATTAAATTAATCTGTAAATTAAGAAAAGATCAAGATCAAGCGTTGATCTCGATATCCACATAATTCAGATTAGTTTAGAAGTGTATAAGTATAACTAACTTAACTCCCACCCGGGGGTGTATGAATTTAAATTTGTTCAGGGGGGGGGAACTTATATCTTTTATACGTTGCTCACCCCTCAATTAAGGGAGCTTCACGTGCCTACATAAATTCCACATCCACTGTGTATGCAACCCTCCCTCCCCCCCCCTAAAAAAAACTTGTGCCAAAGAATTTTAAACTTTGTCCATAATGTTTGCCTCGTGTTTGAAGGAATTGATGATTACTGGTTGCAGATCTATATTCTGCTGAATGTAAAGTATAAAATATATATTGAGAAAATCTAGAAACAAATCCCTTCAATCGAGAATGAAATTGAGTGTAATTTTACCAAACACTAGAGAATCCAGTCGAAAATAAGAAAAGTATGTGATTTTAAAACAAAAGGAAATAATGTTTTCTAACCGATTATTTATTTTATTAATAAGAATATAATAATGAATACTTCTATCATTATTAACAACATGAAGAAGCCGGCGTTGCCCGTGGAATTTTCAAAACAAATTTGAATAAAAAATTTCGAATTTTGTACGCACTTTCGATGCTTCTTCCTCTCTTCAATTTCTTGGTCGACTTGTACGCGGTAAGGTACAATTGTCCAATAAAAAATAAGATATTGGGGCGATGATTGCGCAACTTTAGCAGACAAACACTTTTACCAGGCACTTCATTTGGAATTAAAAACGTCGATTATATCCTTATCCAAAAGCACAAAATTCCTACTTTTTTCAAAAATGGAAAGAAGAAATGTATCTTAATTGTATAATCACGCATTGCTTAATTCTTAAGATTCTAAAGTGAAGATGTTGGTCCTCTATAAAAAAAATAAAAACACTATTTTGAAACCTCCGGCAAACTTTTTGGAGATACTTTAAATGAATAGTTTTATTTAAAGTACAACTACAGTTCAGGAAAATACATTTAAAGAATAACCTCAGTTCAGGAAAATATATTTAAAGTACAACTACAGTTCAGGAAAATATATTTTACAACTACAGTTCAGGAAAATATATTTGAAGTACAACTACAGTTCAGGAAAATATATTTAAAGTACAACTACAGTTCAGGAAAATATATTTAAAGTACAACTACAGTTCAGGAAAAGATATTTAAAGTACAACTACAGTTCAGGAAAATATATTTAAAGTACAACTACAGTTCAAGAAAATAAAAATTATAAAAAATGTACAGGCCACAGAGCTACTACCTCCCTTAAATATTCATTGTGTTTATTTTCTAGGTATTTATTCATGGTGACTCTGTAAAATCTTGTGTTGTTGGTATAATAGTTCCCGATATTCAATCTGTTCAGGAAAATTTACGCACATTTTTTTAGTCAGGCAGTCTTAGTTGAGAGAATTTTAGCATCTATGGTTTATTTATTCAGATTTAACAAAATTGCAAAAAGGTCGAAAAATATTTTTTTTTCATTTTTGACAATTTAAAATTATGATACCTGTTTTTTTACTGTGTTCTTGTCCATGGCCCACCAATTTTTCAGACCAAGAGCATTTTTGTATAGACAATGAAATCATCACTTAATTATCATAAAATCAGATTTTTCCGAAATTTGTTAATAAGAACCTTATCATTGTTATATTCTGTAAAACCATAGACAATGCATAGTTTAGACAAAAGGATGAACTTTAATTATATAATGATTTCTTGCTATACGGTGGGAGAAAATTAAAGAGAATGTTCAAGTATTTTAAAGTAATATCTGCGATAGTTTTTTGAAAATCCGGTTTTTAGGTGAATTAGCAGGGCAATGATCAATGCCACACCAAGAACCAATTTAAAAAAAGAAATTCTAGATGGAAAAATTTATTTTATACAGATTTTAGATCTTATGAAACCTATTTTTTGCCGACGCTACCTCTTTTTAAGGTCCATGAAATATATTTTTATTTTCTCAAAACCAAATATCGTGGAAAAATTGATATTATGTAACAGCCTTAGAACGGTTAGCAACCATTAAAACTGAAAACTAGAAGATGACAAAATCGATCTATTCATGTGAAGAAAATTACTTTTTGCAGCAAACTCTATTTTCTAATCCCAATATCTTTGCAACCCAATGCCGAAGACCTTTGATATTTCAAACTATTAATTATGTTGGATTAAAAAGGCTAAGATGTACATATTAAAGGTTTACACCGTCACAGTGCAAAGATATAGAGTTTAGAAAATTTTAAGTTTGTACAGCAGAGCAGGCAAGATTAAAACTGTAAAATGTTAATAAGACGGGAGTAAAGTTTTGGACATATATTTAATCCGAGACTATAGAAATATTTAGCTCCGAAATATATAAAATATTTTAGTTTTGGACCAATGAAAAGCTTGGGGTTTTAGTTGCATTGCAGTTTTTACTATTTGAAGAAGGTTAAAGAGAAACTGAGCTTTTATAATCCTTTTATCTTTACAACTTCATAAACCTTTATTTTTAAAACTATTAGATCTATACAAAAGTTGTTAATTGAAATATCTAAGGTCTGAAACAGGTTTTAAAAATATATAATTTGAAAATGAGAGATTTTGCGAGCAAGGCCATATCCTTTAATCTATCTATTTCCAATCTGGCGTATTTTGGACAGGATTGGGCCGGAAGAAGAAAAATGCCAAACGATTCTTTCACAGCTCTCTGTAACTCCAGGAATGAACACTTGAACTGCAGTCAACTAATACTGGACCCGAATTTACTGAATTTGAGTCAGGTCGCTGAACTGCCTACCGTCGATTCAAATACTTGTCTGAAGTTCTTCAGAGTAGTTATATCATCTATAGGACATGGAGAAATCCTGATTTAAGAAACGTGGTTGAACCGTCTCTTAACCTGGCTCAAACTCATTAAATCTGGTTCCTGGGGCCGAATTTAAAGAATTTGAGCCGCGGTTTAAATTTGAGTCGCGCCTCAAATATGGTCGGTTCCACCTAAAATTGTATTCAATCTATCAAGATTTAACCTGGCTGCTCAATTTAAAATGGTTTTGGCGGATTTAAGACACGGCTCAAATTCATTAAATTTGGACTCTGATCAATTAATGAATAACACAGAAAAATCAAAATATAAACAGCTGAACCAATCCGGCCAAAATGTGTTGCGGGACCTAACTTACAGACAAGGGATATACATGGTCACTGGTCTGCAGAATTTGACAAGTTCCCTTCAAAAATTTGATTTTCAAAATTTATTTTTGTTGTTGTTTGATAGTTTTAGAATAGACTGGCCGCAGCTAGAGTAACGATTAAAAGTTAAAAATGTAGCAAAGTTTTTTAGTAAATTCATAGAGAAGGGTGTCAGTGAAATCATTCACAGATAAAGATGCAGCGAAAATCACTTTTTAAGTCGCGTCCTTTAAGTGAAAAAGTTAACCTAGAAGTAGTTTAGCTACTGCTCGCTATGTATTAAACTCGAGCTCTGATATATGATTTAAACTGACAGGAACAGAACTTAAAGGAAACTTATTCACAAATATTAAATGATAAAATAACTCTTTAGACAGAAGACACATGGAAACATGGGACAACGTTGATACATTTTATGATTCTAGACTAGTCTAAACAAAAACAAAAATAATCTTTGCAAGTTGAGATATTCATATATTTATATGATCTATTTGATATTAATTTTATATCTAAAAATTAATGAACTTTTCTTATTTTGAGAAATTCTCTGTTTTAACATCAAACGATTTAAAATATATTGAATTACTGGACCACCCAAATTATATCTTAATTGTTTATATTTTCTCACTGTAAATATTTTTAAAAAAAAACAATAAAAAAGTTTTCGGATTTAAAAAAAAATCTCGTGGATTTTTAAAATTTAATCACAATCGAATTTAGTTTGAGGCAAATTTTTAAAATTTTGATCATCCAAAAACTTTAATTGGGGTCTTGTGAGGTATAGTACAAAATTTGGGCCCGATCGGTTCAGTCGTGTTGACGTTCATTAGATACAAACAAACAGACAAGCTAGGTAAACTAGATATACTAAAAACTTCTGATTTGTAAAGCAAGATCTCATTCTTTGAAACCTGAGGCCGAGTTCAAAAATTTGAAAAATGTATTAAATGTTTTAAGATTTAAGCCGGTTTTTGGTGGTTTTGAGATGCGGCTCAAATTCATTAAATATGGACTCTGGTGTTGTATTCTTATATATTTTAGCTACCGTTAATTCTACAACTTTGAAAAAATCTAAAGAACTTACAAAATGTCGTCTTGAAAATTTTCAATAGGCTTTTTACTACAGTGTTACCCACACAGGATGGGACTTCAGAGACGACTGTACGGAATTTATACTGTCTTATCCTTGCATATTCATGATTCCCTGCAACTGTAAACCTAGTTGTTTCTTTGCCAACTAATAAATAAGCCAATAGATTTCTATTATAGACTTAATTTAACCATGGAGTCGTCACATTTTAAGAGTTTCCGGTCGTCTTTACAACCTCATCCTTTGTGAGTAACCCTGCATTATATCTAAATTTCCATTTTCTTAATTTGATAACTACTGCTCCTGTTCATCTTTAAAATCTCAGAGAAGTAAAAAATCTGATCATGAAAGAACTTGAAGATTTAGGAAAGAAACATTTTAAATGAAAATTTTATTACTTTTTCGCATAAGAAAATATTTGATTCACAGAACATACAATGTTTTATTTTACAGTCATAACCAGAAAACTGCAGAATAGGAAGACGACATAAACGTAATACTGAAGTGCATTTTATGAATTTACAAAGCAAATAGATTTAAAATCAATAATCAAGTGAAATGGGTCTTTCTAAAGTTGCTGTGTCTCATGTTAATTGGATTTTTTAAAGTCATAACATGATTCTAAAAGTCGACTTCCTATTCTAGAGTTTTCTATTTTTAATCAAAGCATAAAATGTTGTTTATTTAGCCCGCGAATTTCAAATCAAGAACTATGAAAAAGTAAAGGTAATATATTTAAAGGTTCAATTAAAAAAATTAATTAAATAATAAATCAGTTAATCAATAAATCAATTAAACAATTAATTAATTATTCAATAAATAAATAAATCAATTTATCAAAAACAGCTAAACTGTTTAGAAAGTATCCTACCTAACTACTAAACTGTTTAGTAAGTATCCTACCTAACTAATAAATTGTTTAGGAAGTCTCCTACCTAACTACTAAAATTTTTAGGAAGTATATATCATACCGAACCACTATACTGTTTAGGAAGTCTCCTACCTAACTACTAAATTGTTTCAGAAGTCTCCTACCTGACAACTAAACTGTTTAGGAAGTATTATACCTAACAACTAACCTGTTTAGGAAGTATCCTACCTAACAACTAACCTGTTTAGGAAGTATCCTACCTAACAACTAACCTGTTTAGGAAGTATCCTACCGAACAACTAAACTGTTAACGAAAGCATACTACAACCTGCTCCGTGATACCAAACCAACAATATCTCTTCAAAACAACAATAACAGATCGAAAAAATCAGCAAAGGGGCAATTTTTTTATTAATTCTCCTTATTTTGATAAAAATGGAAAATTTAAAAATAATTTTATTTCCTTGGACAAAAGATTATTCACATAGGTTTTTTAAATAATAAAATTTAATTAATTGAAAAAGAAATGATTGCCATGTTCATAAAATTAAAATAATTTTTTGAATCATCAGTTTTGTTTTGCTGAAAACCATAAAAAAAATTGTCTGCAGGATGACCCGAAATTAAACTGGGAAACCCTAAAACAAACAGATTTAAACCAGGTGCAAAATACATTTTAGCTAGACATTTATTTGTTTTAATTTGTGTGTTTTCTGACACTTTGTGTTTAAACAAAAAAATATCTCGTTTAGAATTATAATTTAAAAATAAAAAGTGATATATTTGTTTCAGTTGGGGAAAATTGTCAGGAAAAAAATCAACTTGCTACAAAACATTGATTGACTTCCAAAAAATAAGCTTGAGACACTATCTCTGCATAGAAAAAAAAACAATCTGTTGTTAATATTTTTAGCAATAGATTGATCGATTTAATTTGATTTTTACAATTCATTTTCTGACTGATTGATTGATTGAGTGCAGTGGATACAGTACAATAGTTTCAAGCCTGAATGATGAACTTCTTGCAGAGCTACAAGAAAAGGCGAATATATCTTTATTAACACACTTCAAAAACACTTAAAGGGAGTGTTCGCGAAAAATGAAAGGGGGTATAGGCTTAATGCGATAAAAAAGCGCTTTTGATCGCTACTAATCTTACTTCTATCTGTTGCGTCTATAAGGAGAAAATTGATAAAGACGTCTCATACCGAAGAGCGTAGCGCCCATACAAATACAACAGATAGAAGTAAGATTAGTAGCGATCAAAAGCGCTTTTTTTATCGCATTAAGCCTATACCCCCTTTCATTTTTCACGAACACTCCCTTTAAAAACAACTAAAAATTTAATTTCCTAATTTTTTGAGTTTTTTGACTTGTTATCTTTTAGTTTCTCGTTGTGTTTTTAACAATGCCGGGGACAGATAGATTAAATACTTACGAAAAGTATTGTCACAAAGAAGTTAATTGGATAATCAAATTTTTTTTTGCATAATTTTTATAGCCTTTGGTTCGTAATATCAAACATACAGGGTGCCCTTTTAATCTTTTAAAAGAACACCCTTTACCAAAAGAATTTCTAAGTAACAATCATCAGTAATTGCCATCAAAATAATTGATATAATAATTTGTGAGACATCCCTGCAGACATTCTGTTCATAATTTTTAACCAACCTTTTGCAATTTCTAAATGGTAGTTCGACACTGAAATAACCAGAAATCTCTGGAATAGGAAGACGACTTTTAGATACAAGTTATGACTTTATTGCCGTCCTCCTATTCTATTTTTCATTCATTTTTATTATTTTTAGGATACCCTGTCTTCAGAGCAAGACACTATGCTAGAATCGATCAGTGATCTAACGGATTCATTGCTCTGATCAATCAGCTAATCAAGTCAATTGATTCCAGTCCATAAGAACAGCTAATAGGTGCAAATGCTTCGTCAATGGCTACTTTAAAAAAGAAATTTTAAAAAAATGCTTTTCATTGCCTTTTTGCTTTTTTTCAAAATTTTGTATATTTTCACGGAAACTGGTTGAACTAAATTTCTTTCAAAAATTAAATCAAATTTTCATTGTGATCAATTTTAGTATTTTGTTATTTCAAAATGATCAAACTGCAAAAATGTGATATTCATATATATTATATATTTAAATTTTTGTAATCAAAGTTTTTAATCTGAAATGTTAAAAAGATTAAAACTGCCTTGCTTTGCTAAAAATATATTATGTCTTACAAAATAAATTTCAAGAGAGTTTTGTTTAAATCCTTTCAATTCTGTAAATAAGATCGATAAGCAAAAATTCTTCACCATTTGTAGCTATTTGTGAGAAAATTGGTTTTATTTCATATATACAAAGAATTATAATTTTAAAGATGTTATAGCATAAAATGGGGTTCCAAATTATTTAATACTATCTTAAATACCCGGCGTTGCCCGTGGAATCTGTGAACTCGTTCAATGCTCGGAAAAACGTTTATTCAAGGGGAAAAAAGCTGTTTGGCTGGCTATAGGTCCAGGATTAGTCACAAAGGATGACGACCCAAAACTGTTTAAATATGACTATTTTCTAGAACAGATTTGGACTTTTAAATTTTGATAAGTTTTGAAGAATGTATAATTAATGATCTTACCTATATAGTTAGAAACAAGTGTGAAGCTGCAATGGTACAATGGAAATTAAGAAAAAAAACTTTTAAATTCTGTAAGAAAGTCCAAAAACCAAATTTCAATCAAAAATGAAAGCGGCTTAAAAACTTTTTCGTTTTCTTTTGCGAAATAGATTTACATAAATTTTGTATTCGATTTCAAAATTATTGTGGCTATCTGATTCAGTCTTCTTTGGTACAGTGAAACCCTTAATAACGAATACATCGGAAGAATTTATAAAATGTCGTCTTGACAATTTTTCAATGAGTTTTATACTATATTTCGTAAATTTCAGTATTTGCGAAAATAAATAACTAGCCATGAATATGCGGGAACAGTTTTAAAGAGTTCCATATAATAATTTAATTAAAAAACTAAATATCTGCAACATTTCATTATCAGAAAGTGAAGAATACGACATTTGATGAATTCTTTCGATGTATTCGTTATTAAGGGTTTCACTGTATATAAAGGTGGCCTCAAAAAGACCGAAAAATCTTAACAATCATTAAATTTTTCACTTTGTTGATGCATGTAATATATTGATAATATGCTATTTTGTTGTTGCAGGAATCCATTTTTATATCCATTTTTAAGGTAAAAATGCTTTTAGACCATTCTGACTTTTATGGCTTCAAAAATTCAAAAATCTCAAAATATTTATTTTTCAAGATGTGATTTGTAAGTATGCAGTTATTTTGCCTTAGAACTCCGTTTTTGAGTCTTCTTTTTATTCCCACCCTGTGGGTCTATTAAATAATATTACAAAAAAGCTTTAAACGTACTTTGAAACCTGAGACTGGTATAATTAAAATCCTTTGTTCAAGTATTATTTATCAGAGTAAGGATTCACGTTTAGAAATCTAATTAATGTATTTTTGCTAACTTCTCAAATGAGTACAAAAAGAAACTTTCTTATCACTTTGTTCATCTATCATTATTTCAAATATTTTGAATTCTGTTGGATCAAATAGTTAGTTTGAAACACCAGACACCAGGTTCAGGATTAGAAAATTAGAATTAGAGTCCCTCCCGTTTCTGTATATAATCTTAAATGGCGCCCAAAATTTCAAATTTATCGGCTTTTTATATGCAACTCTGATTGTTTGAATTTATACACTTTTTAGGATACAAGTACAAGATTAGGTTAGTCTCGATATTTAGAAAAAGAGAGAAGCATTAATCTTGATATCCACCATTCTGAAGTGTTCAGCTCAGTTTGTATAATGTAAATATAGTAAAGTGCATTTCTGTAATTGATTTTCAGATAACTGATTTTAACTATGGGCAACTACCAATCTTTTCATCGTTGAATTTACTTACAAACTTATTTTATTAATATTCGCTTTTCAAGTTCACGGGGATTTAACGGTTCTGTCAATATTTCAGAAAGCTGTGACTTTCGATCACAATTTGACCCCTAATACATAATTTTATAGCCCTTTTACTTTTATAATTTTTGAATGAAAAAGTATAAATTAAGCAAATCCGTAAGTTTAAAGATTGTTGAAACACGTTTGATTTCAAATAAAAGAAACTGAATGCTTCGCTCTCTGGTTAGTCCGGGGTGAGCTGTTGTCTTAAACATTATTTTATTAACATTTTTCTAAAATTACATATTTTTCCTTCAGTTGTCAGTATGCGCACATATTATTATAAAGACTTGCACAATTATTCCGATTGTGTACATAACACTCTCTGCTAAAACCTGAAATAAATCCCGTAATTTCAGTTTAAAAAAAAGTTTTGTCAATGTATGTTCTTTATTGCTTGGTGTCAATGAACTAATTGTAAAAATTCAATCTAAGTTATGTTATCATGTCGTAATCGGATTTTATTTAAAATGAAAAACAAAAAGCTAAAAGTTATCATGAAGGTGCACTTTTCTCTACATATTTTAACTTTTACTCATCTAACAACTTGAATAATTTACACTGGAAATTCATTTACATGTAGAGGGATCGACTATCGGATCCAAATCGATTATAAATTATCTACTTGATTACCTTGTTAATCGAACCTAATATCCAGTTATCTGAGCTCAAAAACTTCCAGAAGAAATTATGGGTCTTATACATGTATAGGAATGTATAATATAAATAAAAAGTGTTTTCACATTTTTAGATTTAGAGTTATTCCTGTTTTTTTTCTAAAAATTGTTTCTGTTTAATTGCGAGGTTCTCTTTAAAAGTGAATTGCAGATTTCACGCACCTCTGCTGACCCTTTAGCAAAAGTAAATTCAATCTAAAGTCTGACCGCGTCAACATTGTTGCACAGGCTAGTCGTATTGAGTGTCTGCTTTATTTACCCAATGTACGGGCGATGCAGTACAAACCAGGACCGGAAAGGTTGACCCGGCTCGGAAATTCAAATGTACTACGGCTGCCCTTGATTTATGGATGTAAGTTAAGGAAGTTTATTTATAAATTATTTATTTAGAAACATTACAATACCTTCATCAAAGGCTAAAGGGTACAGTTGTGAATTTATTACCTCAACCTCTTTAAAAAAGTGAATCAGTGCCCCCTCGTTTTTTCAGTGGGGGGGGGGGGGGTTGGTACTATTATTCAGATGGATGATTTTTTAAAAATAGATCCTGGTTATATATATTTATCTAAATTCCTCTTCTCTCAAGGCTATGTTACATATATCTATCGTATCCGGGTGATACTACAACTCATATATGTGATTCACATTCCAGTCATCCAAAGATTGCAAGCAAAACTTGCTTATAGCTACAAAAAATTGAATTAGTATGGTAAAACCAATGACTAGGTTGTTGTGACACTTCAAAGTCAACCCAGTCTTAAAAATGCAACAAAAATTTGCAGACAGCCATATATTGTCCTCTTTTTTGGGTAACCCTGTAAGATCTTCTTATTGTAAAGTGATAATTTAAGGAAAGTGACTTGTGAAAAGGACAGAGGTGTATGTAAAAAAGGTGACCAGGGCTAAAAGGGATGAATATGTTGGGGTGAAAGGGGGAAGGGTGAAAAGGGGATGAGGGCAAGAGGGAGGGGGCTAATTGTGTTTGATAGTATCGGGGGTAAAGTATTATATGTATTTAGATTTGAAGGTCAATTTTCTATGAGTATATATGTATATATATACGGAAAACTCTAATTTTCTAATTCCTACATCTTTGCAACCTGATTGTGTATTATGAGTTATGAAATAAGAATTGAGTTAAGAATTATGAATTATGAGTTATAAATTATGAATTATGAGTTATGGATTATGAGTTATGAATTATGAGTTCGAGTTATGAATTATTAATTACTAATTTTGAGTTATGAGCCCGAAAATGGCCGAAGCATAACTGTTGCAAAAATGAATAAACACTGAAGCGATGGCAATAGTAAAAAAGGTTATATCAACTTTTCGTTTCTTTCTAAAAAGTGATTTTACATCAACTTCTCGGAGTTATGATTATTTCGCAATTGATGTTAAAAATTTAACCAAAAAACATTTTCCTTTTAGAGGACTCATTTACAAGATATGTTTTGTTGTAATAATTAGGCTTCTCAATTCTGAAATTCTTTTTTTTTATTAACAATAAAACATAATAATTAAAATTTATTTCGATAAATAATAACTAGACCAACGAGATTTTGAATCAAACTTAGCTAAACATAGATACATATGAAGATGTTACATTTAAAGTTTTGTTAGGTTAATTAATATCTTATCAATAAGATAGGAACAAAATTAAATATTTAGTAAATATAGACATTAAAAACATAAAAAATTGCAGCCTTGGAACGTTTTATAAATTATAAATAAATAAATGAAAAAATAATTGACCTTGAACAAAACAAGTTTTCCAGGATAAAATTTTTCAAATGTTAAATTAACTGGGTTTCCCGGACTCCTCAACCATTGTGCTTTGGTTTCTTATCAGTATGTGTTTTCATTATCTCATGATTATCTAAGATCTTAATTCATGGATTTAGCCGATTCGTCCGATGAATAACCGCCCTCGTTGTTGAACACGTGGTAAGGAAAACTGTTATATTTACGTAATGGCTGCTTTGGGTTTAATTCGCGGAGTAGCTGTTTGTCTGAGATGGTTGTAGTTCGGGGTTTGTGGCTCTTGGATCTGCAAATCTTCTTGTGCTCCATGTTTATGATGGGTTGAGAAGCTCCCTTGAGCCGTAGACCTTGGACTGGCATCTGGGGACTAGTGTTGCCACTACTGCTTGAGCTCTTACGACTTAAAGCAGAGTGTCTCAGTTCTCGGGTAGAAGAAGTGGGAGGAGGCCGGCGCTGTCCCAACTGGGCAATGATAGAATCGTACTGCTCATCGGATTCAGGAACCGGAGTAAGTCTGGGATCAGTTTGGACCCGGGTAGTTAAGGAAGCCACGGTCTCCTCGGAAATCCTAGTAATGAAGGAGAACCGGTCTGGGTTAAACTCAGACTGCTTGAAATCTCTTAAGTTTGGACTTCCCACGTGCCGCCGCTGGAAGTGCTCAACAGGAAGCTGGGAACTGTCCTTTCTTCTAGCAGGGTCTGGAGTCACGAATCCTAGGTTAACAGAGTATCGAGGATGGCTGCTTATTGAGTGTACAGAGACTGTTGTGGATGGGGATGAAGTAGTACTATGTGTTGAGCTCCGACTGTTACAAGAACCAGGACCAAAAAGCGAGAGAAGAACAGGAAGCAAAATCAACCCGTGCAGAGCTCCCAGAAATATTACAAGAAATATCATCTTGAAAAAAGTGACATAAAGATAGCTTGGTGCAAATGCCAGTCCTATTACTCCTAGAATAGTACTTGTAGCACCTTGAATTATAGGCAGTCCAAGGGCATACAGACTTGCAGCTATTCTCTGATCCGGAGATTTACCCTCTTCAGACATATAGTGGTAACAGATATGTGCTGAGAAGTCTACAGAAAACCCAATACACATGATCAGATTGATCAGAGCAATGCCATCAAGGTTGATTCCCCACCAAGCCATGAAGCCAAGGACTCCAGCTTCTATAGAGAGAATGCTAAACGCCACCCAGAGAGAGCATAGCGGGTTCGGAATCATGATGAAGGATATGATCATCATGAAACCAGAGGTTACAAGTATAGATTGTATCGTCTGCGGCATAATTTCTAGATACTGGTCAATGTAGATGAAGTAAGGATGGAAAACAGTAACCTGAAATAAGATCAATTAACTTATGATAAATTTAACAAAAATATAAAACCCTAGTCACTGAACCTTGAGGAACTCCTGGAGATTTTTATCAATGGCGTAGTTTATCAATGAACTGTTTCATATCATAAAGTGCATGACAATTTTATATGATTCTAAAACTTGGCACAGTTAAACATTTACTGGCAGGAAATAAATGAATACATCATTTCAGACTTGGATGCTTTTTTGCAACATAGAAGAGTCTCACTTAGTAAGTCTAGACCGTGAATTATCACTTTTCTGGCTTTGCTGAACCCGTTATACAAAATACAGTAAACTAAATCAAAGAACTATAAAAAAATTGTAAATCATAGTAATAATTGCATCATGTAGAACATTAATTAAAGCCATACCTTTATATTCTCATCACTAAACTGTTCCGCAACTGCTCGGAGCTCCTCTACCATAGCAGTCTCATCCAAAGCATTGACCACATTATGTCCTTGAAGTAGAAATCGTCCTGCACTGATTCTGTCCCCCAATGGACTGAACTCTACATCTAGTCGAAGGGGACTCGAAGAATCCGCAAGGTAGTGAGTTCTCAGGGTGTTTATAAACTCTGGTTCTGTTCCAATAGAAACGTCAATATCATCAAAACCTTCATTTCGCTCAACGAATCCCAAAAATTCTCTAAGCCATGATGTTGTCAGTTCGGGTGCTATCATTGACGAGTTTTCAAAGCTTTTTAGCATACTATTAATTTTCTGTTGGGTGTTGACATCTGAGAACTCGATATCTCCACTAAGAATAACATTAATTGGAAATCTGTATTCTCTGTAAAACTGATCATCAGCATCATAGTAGTTGATACTATAGGAATCATAGTTCACTGTGTTTCGTTTCTCTAAACCTTCCTGAATCATGGTAATACCCCAAATTGAGGTCATGATATAGGCTGTAAATATAATAAGCACAAGTGATTTAACCCATTTCAAGCTGAGGGCATATCCAAGCTTATCTCTAAGGAATGCCATACCAGCATGCTCCTTGTTGTCAATAGGGTTGTAGGGATCCATTGGGTTAACCCCACCAGTACAAAACACTCTGTAAACCCAATTCCTGTTTGATGCAAGAGACTTTGGAGTTACCGTGAAACAGAACATCCCATGCTTGTTTTTCTGCTCAGCGTATCCAGCCAGGGCAAGACATCCTCCAAATAATGTTAGATGCCAAACATAAATAAACGCTACTGCACATCCAGTGTATAGACAAAATATTCTGACTACAGGAAAAGGGGTTATTACGCCTGCAATGAAGCTAAGGAAATCCGTCAAGGATGTCACCGTTATTGAGACAGCTGCATCTGAGAACGCTTGTCCCATTCTTTCAGGAACAGAAGCCTGCTTAGAGGAGCGCACCCAGGCAGATAACATGACAAATGTGTCATCAATACCTATTCCCAGAAGAAGAAAAGGAGCTGCAAGGCATAAAGCAATGAATTCAACCCCGCAGTAGCAGAGTAATCCAAACCCAGCCAAGGTGGCAAGACAAGCGGTGAACAGTCCAAGAAATCCAATCAATGGTTTTGATCTCACCGCATCTGACATGGTTGATGCTGCTAAGCAAAACATTATCATGATGATCACATTTATCATCAGGTTTGGTGTGATGGAGTTCTTAGATTTCTCCATCTCCCAAGCAGGGGTGGAAGAACAAAACTTGGCAACCTTAACGTTCTGAGAAATTTCTAGAATTCTATCAATTTCCTCTAAGAACATTCTCTCCCATGAATCCCCAACTGCAAGCAACCAGTCTTCAGACACATCAAGGAAGTAGTTGAGAGCAACTGCCTTCACTTCAGTCACTATTCCAAAATCATCATACTTCACTCCGCCAAAGTATGCTGGAAGGTTGTATTGTTGAAATGTGAATGGATCAAATGTTATCGGATAGCTAAGATTGAAGGCTCCGCTTTCAATGTCCTCCATGAATGCACCCATACTCAACACATCATTTGACCTGAAATAAGAATATAATGACATCAAAGCTTCAACATAAAACTTAACAACTTAGTTACAAACTTTGTCACAAACTCAAATTTATTAATCCTTATATATTTGCAACCAGATGTTGTGAATCTTTGATATTTCAAAGTTCTAATTTTGGCATAGCATCTATTTCTTTAGACAAAAATAACTTACTTGCAATACCCATCCCATTTAGCACAAATTTGGTTGTATGTGACCATTGCACCTTCATGTGGAATTGTCATGTTGGTAATTCCAGCATCCAGCACAAGTATCTCATCCCACACAGTTGATCTGAAACAAATCATTACTAGTTTTTGTGGCACTGAGATCAACTTGAATTGGAGAGATTGTTCAATTCAATCATTCCGGTACAAACTAGCCTTACGATCTGTAGCATACTAACTCTCTGCCTTCTATAAATTGGCAACTTTGATTTTATCAGAAGTTATTCTTGTCTTTATTGGCGTCTTTTTGTGTTTTGAATACTGTCGTCAAAATCCTAATGGTTGTACATTAAGGGTTTTCTTTGATATTTACTTCCTCATACTGTTACCCCTTCCCCTTCATGAAGAAAAGTTTAAAATTACTGGTCACCCCAAGTTTATAGCGTAGTAAAGGTTTAAGCTTCTTATTTTATCAGGCAGCAAATACCCGGATACATTTATTTTACATTCTTTCTTTATATTCTTTGTCTCACCAGGATGTCCTATTCTAACTTTTAGAAGGATACATTTATCATACATTACTCCTTCCTATTATAACCTTTAGTAGGATACGTTTATTTTACATTCTTTCTTTATATTCTTTGTCTCACCAGGATCACCTATTCTAACTTTTAGAAGGATACATTTATCATACATTACTCCTTCCTATTATAACCTTTAGTAGGATACATTTATTTTACATGGTTTCTTTATATTCTTTGTCTTACCAGGATCTCCTATTCTAACTTTTAGTAGGATACATTTATTATACATTACTCCTTCCTATTATAACCTTTAGTAGGATACATTTATTATACATTTCTTCTTCCTATTCTAACCTTTAGTAGGATACATTTATTATACATTTCTTCTTCCTATTTTAACCTTTACTAGGATACATTTATCATACATTACTTCTTCCTATTCTAACCTTTAGTAGGATACATTTATCATATATTCCTTCTTCATTTCTAACCTATAGTAAGATACATTTTTTATACATTTCATCTTCCTATTCTAACCTTTAGTAGGATACATTTATTATACATTTTTCCTTCCTATCTTTTACTTTAATAATTTTCTTTATATTTTGTTAATTTACCGAGGTCAGAATTTATTCTTAGTGATGAGTATTTAAACTAGGAATAATTTCTCTAGTCCCCTTTCGGGGAGACTGGAATTTTGAATTATGTTTAACATTTCTATGAAATCTCGTAAACATAAAAAAAAATCCGCGAATATAAAATGAATTAGGATGCCGGCCTTGCCTATCACTTTACCTGAGTAAGGAACCACCATCTTCAGCTGTAACAATGATTCTTCCAAATTTTCCAACTCTTGACATTCGAGCAGGCTAAAATAAAAAAATTAAGTATAAGGTTGAAAAATCAACACCGTTTTCAACAACTCTTTTTCTAAAGCATTATGCAGTCTATTTTTGCATGCGCAAGTAAATCTAACAAATATTTTCACTCGATTTGATTTTGGATGAAAATTATTTAATAAACACAACAATTAATTTCTTAAATCAAATTCCTCTTTTGATGTATGAAGAATGAAAGGCGTTGTAAAATTTGTGGATTTGATACGTTAATACTGAAATTAAGCATTTTTAAAATGGTAGGTTACTAATCCCATATAATTCAAAATGGCATTTTTTTAAATGCACAATTTTCCCAAAATGTTTATTATCCCAAAATTGTACAATATTCACAAATTGTGGAATATCCCAAAATATACAATATTCCTAAAATGTAGAATATTCCCAAAATTTTCCATATTCCCAAAATGTAGAATATCCCAAAGTACAGAATATTCCTAAAATGTACAAAAAACACATAAATGTATGATTCCCAAAATCTACATACAAAGAACTTTAAGAAAATATTTTTAAAATACTAATCCGGTTAAATCCGGGTACAAGTCCTTACTCCGGATTAGGAAAATCCGTATCAAAACCAGTGTCACGGAACAGCGTAAGTGTGTGTGTCTGTGTGTTTCAGAGACTTGTTTAGAGGTCCTTGATTACATATCAAATGTCAAATTTAAATCTAGAAATGCATACTTTCAGTTTGAACTTGAGGTTTGAACTTGATTAGACACTTTACTGTAATAAACCTTTATTTAACTCTACATCTTTCAAAACCAATATGGTGTAAACCTTTGGTATTTCAAATTAGATTATTTTAGCTAACAGAACTCATGGTTTAAATATCTAAGGTTTACGACATTGGGTTGCAAAGATATGGGGTTTAGAAAATCAGAGTTTGAGGCAAAAAAGATATTTCAATCTTAAGTATTTTGTTTTCCCCCTTTCTGTTTTTTAAAAAAGTTTTCTGAAAGGGAAAGTATTGATTAATTATGAGATAAAAATTGCATCAGCCTTATCTCAACTTCTCAAGCATCATTCCGTGACATAATTTTATTGACCAATTAATAAAATTGAGAAACTTTCAGCAGTTTTTCACACGAGACCCTACTTCCCAACTCGTATTATTTTTAGGATACCCTGTCTTCAGAGCAAGACACTATGCTAGAATCGATCAGTGATCTAACGGATTCATTGCTCTGATCAATCAGCTAATCAAGTCAATTGATTCCAGTCCATAAATCTTCATTGTGTTCCAAGGCTATTTAGCTGAGGGCATATGGTGTTGTGCCTTGCATAAGAAAAACTAAATTAAATGGATTGTTCACTTGATAAAGCAAAATTACTAGATTTGTGTAGTTTTTCGAAATATAACTTTAAAAATTTCTAAGAAATAAAAAAAATAATGACCTGGAAAAATTTGTAGTCAATGGGGAAATGCTTTTCCATTTCGACACGCTCAAGCTTGGCTTTCCCGGTGGAGGGGGAGAGAAGATATTCTAAAGAAATTAGGAAAATTTGAATTTACGATGTCTCTTTATATTTCGTTAAGGTCTCACTTTAATATTTTTCAAATAACACACAACAGAAGAAATAAATAGAAAGTATTTGCAGAGATAAAAAATAAAAAATGTGTAAATAAAGTTCACTTCAAACTAAAGATTTGGTCTTCACATGAAACGTTTTGTCTGAATATTTTATGCATAATTGAAAAGAGCATATTAACATAATTTAACAGAAAATAAGCAAAAGAATAATCTTTTTGGTAGAAATATAAAGTGAGCCACAAATTATTGTGGAGTGGAAGGAAGACTTTTTGACCTCGAAAGTGTTAGGTCGTCTTTTTACTCCGCATTTTTCTGTGGACCACCTGATTTATGTTTTAGAATATTTACCTGGGTCCCAATTATAATCCATTTGTTGGAACCCTGTAGCGCAGAGTGCTGTAAGAAGAAGAGGGATTATTATAAAGTATCCAGGATGTTTCCCAATACATACTCCTAGACGATAAAACCAGCGTTTGAGTGTTTCATCCACGATTTTTAACGGAAACTTTGTCATTTTTACAGAGCGGAGTTTCATGATGAAGGTTTCATGAAATCATTATTGTTGAATTAAATCTGCGTATTTTTAAGTAGTTCACGGTTTATGATCAGCAGACTTAATGCATCCGGGTTCAGGGTATCCTGAAAAAAAAACATAATTTTATAAACTATAAAACATGATTTTAAAATTTAAATCATAATCTGTTGCAAAATGAACTTTTTAGTATCGAATGTCATGTCCGCAGAGCAATAACGATTAAATAAAGTTTTGAAAAAAAAAAACACAATTTGTTTTTAATTGTATCGTTCCTTTTCTGGTTGAGATATAGCGTTAGTTTAAAAAGTAACGGAAGGATTGTATTATTAAGAGGTGTGATTTAGATAAATAACTTTAGGGATGGATGAATCGATGCATGCAAATTAATCAAACAATCTCAAAAATCTTTTTAAATCTTAAAATTTGTATTTATTATTTTCAAATTTAAAAAAATCGTAATTCCATTTAAAAGAAAAAAATTACACATTACGTATAAATATAGGCTGCTCTGGAAAAGTTGCATAATTTTCAGTATGGTGCCGACTTTAAATGGGTTGCAACGCAGTGGCCTTTGATTTTACCCCGTTAGCTCATTTATACTTGTGTAATTATAAACATATTTATTTACAAAACACTTGTTTTTAGTTTCAATTTTAAGAAGTATTTAGCAAAACTCTCCTCATCAAATGTATGAAAGCTTGAAACCTTTGTATCTCTGAAACCTTTTTTAAAAATTGAGAATAATTTTTATTCTAAATCTATGTTTTAATGGTAATTTAAATATATATTTTAATTTAAATATATATTTCAATATTTTGAGCGTGTTTAATTTGTTTTATTTTTATTATTTTCCATTTGAGGTTTGAAATTGATTAGACACTTT